TCTCTGAGTCGAAGCCGTCGTACTGCCAACCGAGCTGTAAGCTGTTGACCCACTCGAAGGAACTCTTGTCTCTTGCTGTTGGACATTTGTCTGCCCACCTTCAACTCTCACCTCTCTCACATTGTCTCTGTTCGGGCACTCATTGCCCCAGTGCCCAAACCCATTGCACACCCGGCACCGATCCGGGCTGAGCTTGCCCTTCGACTTGCTCTTGCCTTTCGACTTTCCTTTTGTCTTCCCTTTGCCTTTCTGTTTTCCTTTGCCTTTGGAAAACTTTCCTTTTGACTTCCCTCCTTTGAACCAAGAACTGGTCCATTGCCATGCATCCGACCAACTTCCCTTTCCTTTGTTTCCTTTCTTTCCTTTGCCTTTCTCTCCACCTTTGCCTTTGCCTTTGTAAGTCACGGCGTCCACCTCCATGGGAGCAACACCTGAACTGTCGACCTGTCGGTTCAAAGGTTTGACCATGTCTTCAACACTCCAAAGCTTGAACTCCTCTCGTAAGCCAATATTCGTTCTCTCACCTCTTGATAGGAAGTGCTTTCTGTGATTGCCAGGCTGAGGTGTTGTCGAATCCCTTCAGGACACAACCGCATCAGAACTCCCAACAAAACATCCCTATCAAATTGTTTTGCATTGAGGGCATCATACTGTTGCACCAATGCTTCCATCGACATGATGTGCTCTTGCAATGTCTTTCCTGGTGCCTGTTTGTACTGAGGAAACGACGAAATCGCCTGCGACAAAGCCAAGGCACGTTGTCTCGTTGCTGGGGCGTAGTGGTCAACCAATGTCTTCCACAATGCAAATCCGTTCCTGGTCTCAGATCCTGACCTGCTCAACTGCAATGCTGATCCTTTGAGGTAGGATGTGAGGATGGCGTACAATTTCCTTGCAAGGTCCCACTCTTGTTGGCCCCAATCAACTGTCTCAATGCTGTCAGCCGGAGTTAGCTTTTCGATCTGTTCGATCGATTCCAAGAACCGTCCATCCGCGTACGACAACCAGTTCAAGAAACTGTGCCTCCAACTTACCCAACTTAAACTGTCACTTGAATCGAACTGCTCTGGTGTCTTGAGGATCTTCGATGCAGACTCCAAGGATTTAGCCACTGAGGCCGATGCTGAACCTGTAGTTGAAGCAATTGCCTGCGAAACTCCTTCCAACACCTGACCTTGTCTTTGCAAGATACCACCAACACCTGTCATGAACTGCTGGAACTGTTGAGCGTCCATAGCTTGTACCCCGTAGCTCAAATGAACTAGCAAGAGAAATGCAAAACCTTTGGATTGCAACCTTGTCAACATTCGGCTTTTCCTCAACTTGCCGTTCCACCTCTTCTTGACCTGATGGATCACCTTTCTCTTGCCTCTTAGGCCCAAGCGCGTTCTGGTTCCGCAGATTTTCAAAGCAGCTAAACAAGCAACTCCAATGAATGCGCAAATGTACTGACAATGCTCTAGTTGCGACAACGTCAAAACAACCTGCATGCAATGTCTCCATTGGGCTCCACAAAGCAATGCTTTTGTCCACTCCAAACTGAACAACGCTGTTCCAATGCACCAAATCTCAACCGACAAAAAGAAATCAATGAATTGCCACTGCACCCAATACCACGAATCATACCATCCATCAACCAACACCTGAAAATCCTCCGTGTGGCAAAACACGCTCAACAGGAAAACTTCACTGAGGCAGAAGCAGCTCCAGAAAACCAACCATGCCATCCGCCCCCGGGATCGGCCGACCTAGATGCACCTCCCCTGGGGGCTTTGCCCCAGGATCGTCAGTGCTCCGCTACCATGTCAAGGTGAGCGGATCTTTTGGACCACACGCGCTACGGTAGTTTCAACTAGCAAACAGTGCGCCTATACACATGACAAATCTTGACAAATGGTATACTGGACTCCAAGACTTTACTGTTGGGGGATGCCGCAAAGAATTGAAAAATCTCACAGTACTGCGAGCTCGAAGCACCCTGGATCTAACAAGTTCAAAGGCCTGACAAAAAACGTGGAAGCAGCGGCCACTCATGTTTTGAAAGGGCGAAGTGGCCCAGGTGGCCAGCTGGCAGCGCGAGAGGTTTCAAACCGACATGCGTTCGGGTGTAAACGCGTTCCTGAGGTTTCAGCTCTGAAAACTTCACACTGGTCTTTGGTTTGTCCCGGATGCACGCTCTTCATGGTCTCCTTGCTGCCTTCGTCTCAAAGTTGGCACGATGGAGCCATTCACAAAGCTGCCACGTCTGCTGCAGCTTCATGTCGAGCTTGGTCAGCCCGTCGGCGTGCATGCCGGATTAGCCAGATGGCTTGCGGTGGCATCATTTGCTGCGCACTCCGCACTGCCACCATGCTTCTCTTTTCCAGCGGAGCCGGGTTCTCGGCGAGGTCCTATAGGATCGGTCGCCTGCTTCATCTCGAACTTGGCGACACCCTTGAAGGCTGGGATCTGGTAAAAGGGCTCCGCCCGCGCAGAAGTAGTTACAAAAAGAGGCTCTGTCAGCCGCCTCGTCGGCGGCGTAGTAGACAGTTGATCGTCGTTTTGCTCCCTTTCAGCCACTGAAGGCTTCCGGTGCGGCTTCTGAAGCCCCTCATTTCTTTCACACTCAATGCAGGCGGCCCTTGGAGTTGGCCTTTTTGGCATGAATTGCCCCCTCGTCCATGGAGCGGTGAAGGCTTTCTGGGTGATGAGGTGCAATAGGAGAAGCGACGTCTTCTCTTCCAAGCTGATATATTCGCCGGCAGTGGTGGTTGTCACTTTTGTGATCAAGCCCCACTTGAAGAGGTCTTTGATGATGTTTTCTGCTCGGCAGAAAGTCATCCACGTGGACGATCGGGGCACAGTCCAGCTGCTGTTGCTCGTTCAAGGCTGTGGCAAGTGAAGGAGGCAGACAGGGGGTCATCATTGTCGACTTTGAAGTACCAAGTCGCGGGTGCATTGCACAGGCCGTAACAGTTGTCAGTGATCTCATACAAGGGGCTGATGTAGAATATATATATATATATATTCTGTTTTGCCCACTGCGTTCAGACTTGTGCTGTTGGCCTTGAAGGAAGGTCTTTTCAACATCTGAGATCCACAGGGTCCACTTCTGTCCATCGCTGTTGAACTCTCCGTTGGCGCCTGAAGCTGCAATGGAGAGGGCGATGAACTTGCTCAGCTGCATTGGTGTAGGTGAGTCACGGGTCACGGGTCAACTGGCAGACGTCAGGGTCGCCACATCCAATGATCACCGCCCCGCGGGTTTTTGGCACGAAGTGGAGGAACACCTCTTGCTTTGTCTCTGTGGGCAGCTCTGGATTTCATGATGCGTCCCCTGAACAGCGGACGCAGCTGCTTCGTTGTCGTCCAATGACCGAACTCCGGCCCAACTCATCCATCCATCCCGCTCGTTCACACCGCCCTTAACACATTATAGGCGACGATGACTTCCTCGCCCATGGTCTGGTCGAGTTGGATCTGGGCTGGGATGCCTGCCATTTCGATCTTTCGTTGATTGCCGATTGCTGTTGATGTGGGCCTGATAGCAAAGGCTGCCGTCACAATGCACTAAAGTGGTCGTTGTGGAGTGTGATCAAATCCTCTGGGGGACGACAGCCGCGCACGGCCCTCGAGCCAAGGTCTAGATGAAGGGACCCTCGACTTCCGGCCCACTCAAGAGCCAAGACTTCATGAACTATAGCACCAGCAAACGGAGAACAGCCACTGGATTTAGCAACAATCCCACAAGCAATTCCAGAGGCAACTCCTCAATCAGCACCTCAACACATTAAACAGACCGTCACTACCACTGAACAGCAACAAGAGAGAAACCAATAGCGAAACCAAGTAAACAACGCATCATGGTGCACGTTGACTCACCATGTTGCAACATACCAGCAGAAGCGAATCTGGTTGTTGCCGATGTCTTGCCAACTGGATCCAGCGGTCCAGCAGGACTTCTGGTCAGAGTCAAAGGCCAAGAAGCGACCAAGTGACCAGCTGCCTTTCTTATGCTGTCTTGAGCGTCCTTGCCAGCGCCAAAAGGCAACAGTTTGACCCGACTGCCGCTGTGACAGCTCCTGCTCGTTGCGGGTCCTTCGAAGGAGTCTTCGACGAACTGTTTGTGAAGAGGTGGTCTGCATCATCGGCGCAGTCTGAAGGTGGTGGTCCTGGATTGCCATGCTGGGTAAAGGCCTCTTCCGGGATGTATAAGGGCTCGACCGACTCGACCGGGATGTATGGCTCGTTTCCACCAGGCACGGGTCATCCGAGGACCTGGAGGTGTCTGCTGCGCAGTGTCGGGCATGAATGCCCAGCTCATCATGCTGTATGTATATGGAGGCCTTGCTGCCGACATAGCAAATCCAACCCGTGTTCGTCGGCAAGTTTGGGGCATGATCGGCGCAGCCAACATTCAGCTGGTTCCATGGGCGTCAGGCCTGGCATGGTGTCATCCGAGCTGCCAGTTGCACTCTATTGTCCAGCCATTCTGCGCGTTCATGCCGTGGGACATGTCAGGGACCTCGTCACCATATCAGAGTTGTACCATATAAACTCCGCCGCATCATCAAACTCCACAGTCTGTATAAGTGTGGAGGGGCCGGGTGACCAGGACCCAGGGCCCTCCATCGAAGCGATGCGCGAAGGCTCCGCGCTACCATGCCCTGCAAAAACGTGGAAGCAGCGGCCGCTCATGGTTTGAAAGGGCGAAGTGGCTCAGGTGGCCAGCTGGCAGCGCGAGAGGTTTCGAACCGACATGCGTCCGGGTGTGAACACGGTCATGAGGTTTCAGCTCGTTAACTTCACAAATAATTTGATGCAACACATGTATATTATATAGCAGTTCCTATGACCCGGATTTCATCCACGACAAGATCATCATAATCCTCCCTTTGACTTGAAGGTCTGCGAATTGTAGCTTGTCCACACCCTCCAATGTCACAATGACATTCTTACCATCACTCCCTAGCTTCAACCTCTTCGACAAAGAAAAACGGCAAAACAGAAGACCCACTGTCCTTGATGTCAGAGAACATAATGGTCACAACCTGAGGTTCGCGCAAGCGAACTACAAAACAAAAACTGGATGGATATGTCCTTCTTCGAAGAGCTGAATTCACGAACCTTGGAGTACATGACTTTTGTTAAGAACTTATAGTTAGGAACAGCAAGTCCTACCCAATGCTCCAAAGGGTGTTTGAAAGTGCGTTGTTGCAGGACCATCATGTTTTTGTGTTTGGTGAACCACAGGTCTATTGAGTGAAGCCATGTGAAATCCACTTGCCCTCACGCGTGACCGGGTTTTGTTTACATGCATGTTGTTTTGCGAGGCCAAGTTCTATATGATTCTATATGCGGAAAAGACTTTACTTCGAGTGGTTCACGCCACGACATTTCCATCAGTTGCTTTCATGCGGAGCATGTAGCCATGCGTGTTGTTTTGTGAGGCCAAGTTCTGAATAATACGGAACAATACTTTACTTCGAGTGATCCCCACCGTGCATGACATTTCAATCAGTTGTTTCACGCCATGGTGAGGGGCATGTAGCCATGGTCGTGAGTTTGTGGTTTTAGATTTTGTTTGTGGGGGTTTAGGATTGCTATTTTAGTGTTGAGGAGTTCATGGGGCGTTGCCATTGTCTGCCCACGGCGATCCGGCACTTGCGGCTGAGGTCCGGTAGTGCCCACTGCGATCTGGCACTTGCGGTTGACGTCCGGCAGTGCCCACTGCAATCTGGCGCTTGCGGCTGAGGTCCGGCACTGGCGGCTGAGGTCCGATGCAGTGTTCTACCGCCAAGTTATCCCCACTTAAAGCATAGTGTAACATAGGCTATAGCATAGTGTAACAAGGTTAAAACTTACTTTAACATGACCTAAGTTCACTATCTGCTAGGCGAACTTGCAACTTAGTTGTAACTAAGTTACATTTTTTACTTAACTTATAAGTAAGTTAGCTCTAGATATGAAAAACAGCTAGGCAAGTTAGCAAAGTTCATCCGAAACCTGAACTACCATAAATTATTTAACCCTTCATCCCAACTAATTACTTGGAACCCTTCGTCCCAAGCATTTGAACAACATGTTTGAACCCTTCTTTGAACCCTTCATCCACAAGTCTTTGAACTCTTCATCCCAGCGACTTTGAAACCCTCACCCCAAGTCTTTGAGCAAAGTTCTGGACCCCTGCTTCTTCCATAAGTCTTTTGAACTCTTCATCACAAGTCTTTGAACCCTCCATCCCAAGTCCATGAGCAAAGCTTTTAAACCCCTTCTTCATCCCAAAGAAACTGAAACCTTCATCCCAAGTAGGGTTTTGAAAGGCACCGCGGTCTTTACTGCTTGGACCAAAGCCGAACACATTTCGAACACATTCTTAACACACATGTGTTAGATATGAGTTCTGGTGTGTTAGCTACAAACATGTATTACAAATGTGTTCAGGATGTGTTGTTTTGTGCTTGTTTGATCTTGAATGAGTGGACCGCCACTCAAATTTTGCAAAGTATGAGTTAGGATTTTATCATGAAGGGTTCATTGCTCAAAGACGTGGGATGAGGGGTTCAAAGTCGTTGGGATGAAGAGTTCAAAGACTGTGGGACCGGATGCATCAAGGTCAAGGTTGGGATCAAGGGTTCAAAGGCTTTATTCAGAAGGTGAAAGAAAAACAAACGGACCGAAAACGGCCGTTTTCCATCCAACGACAAGAATTGTGGATCCAAGGAGGCGATTTGAATTGAGCGACCCAACGCGTGGAATTTCACGGCGGTGCAGCGCGAGGTTCACAAGATACTTGTCTGCCATATTAGATTTTGCTCAATGAATTAATGACTACTGTTTCCCTCCAGATCATGGCCATGGACACAACGGATGACCTCATTGATCTTCATGCGAGGCTTGCTGCTGACATGCTTTTGCTGTTTGCTGTTGTGAACCGACTTACAATTCATTTCAAGTCAGGTCCATTCAATATCTATGCCATGTGTTTTCAAACCATGGACATGCAGTTCATTTGACCTGAAGTCCCCTTGACATGAAGCTTCTGAATTTTGTTGGCGTTTGGTTTGATTTAAAGTGTTTGCTAAGGCGTCAGTGCAAGGGCACGGGCTTCTTCAAAAGGGTTGGCCGTTCAAGTGGCTTTGACCTGGGTGAGGGATGTTGCTTGGAAGCTGTAGGCTTGGAGAAGTAATTGCAAAAGTTGACCAGGGAGGTGGCATGACATGGCAAAGATTGACTGGTAGGCATCGCTGTCTTGATTTGGTAAATGAAGGATCAGAGTTGCTGTCTGAGAGAGCATGGTTCTGCAGCACCCTGCTGCGTTGAAGGCAATGAGGAGGATTCTTTGGGTTCCAGCTTCGCTGCTCCTTCTCAACTCGCGAATGACTTGCTACACTCTGTGGGAAACCCAAATGAACTTGGTTCGTTATAACGTTGTATGATACAACCAATTTTTTACAACCTGGATATGGTTGCCCGTGCAGTCCATGGCAAATGCGGTCAGAGCTGCTGCTTTGGATTTAAATCGAATGGCAAATGGCACAAAATGGTTTGCGACGGTTGGTGGGAGGAACAGCGGGTGACAACGGCTGAGAGTGTGACAGCGAATGACACCGCATGACTGACACTGTCAGGTAATAAAATCTAGATACTGTATTTAGGCAAGGTTTCATGCAGTGAAGCCAACACAAGGTCTGGCTGCAGGTGTTGCAAACAAAGTTGATTTGACACACTAAACGGCACCGTTTGCACAATACAGTTTTGAAATGTGACTCTACCAAAACCAATGGCGAGCCAGCACTTCCTGTAGATTTTCTCAGGACATATGACGATCCATGTTTGTGCTTTGTTTGGGGATGGTGCGGTTAATTTGTTCAGCCACCTGATCTGGTGCACTTTTGTGACTCATCTCTTGTCCAGCTGTATTTGAATTTGTACTCGTGGATGTGCCGCGATGTGCCTTCATGTTTTGCATGTTTTTGCACGCGAAGTACTTTTTCAGCATTTTATGCATAGTTGATCGCTTTAAAGTCCTTTTCCTTACACAGGACCCATGAACAAAACTCTATATGATCTAGTCCTCCCTGATCCAATCCTCGATTGTATTTTTCATGACTTTATATATACGTAGTTCCAAGATGCTTAAAGTTAAGTAGATTCCAGAGGGATTTGTCTATAGTTCGAACATGTCAGGGTGCTCCCAACAGAAAGGTTACATAAAAAGGCCCATGCACCCACTATGTATCTTAACTACCGACCTATGGATATAAGTGCTCTATCTTCACAAAAAAGGTTGGCGAAGTTACGCCCCTATGTAATCGCTATGGTAACTATGTTAGAGCCATGTTAGAACCCTATGTTCGATAACCAACGTTATAACTTACCCATCCTCCTCGCAGTGCCCACTGCGATCTCGTACTTGCAGTTGAGTCGAGGTCCGGCAGTGCCCACTGCGATCTGGCACTTGCAGTTGAGGTCCGGTAGTGCCCACTGCGATCTGCCACTTGCTGTACCTTTGCTTGCGAGGAGGAGGAGGAGGAGGAGCAGGAGAGGAGAAGAGCTCTGATAAAATCTAACAGCCCTCACCTGGCATGTCGGAAGAAATGTAAACGCTTCTTCCACAGCAAAAACATATTTTATCATATGTTTTACGCCAAAAAACATCATTCCTTCTACGGTTTGTCCACGATTCTTGAGCTGGGTGGAGGCAAGGAATCGCATGCAAGAAATGGGTCGTTGTTTGCAATAAACATACTTTCTGGAAAGTACTCTTCTTCTCTTTAAAAGCTTAGGGCATATGCAATTAGGTGACCAGTCAAAGCTTTTCAGGATTCACAGAATTCAGTTCCAGCTGTGTCTTCGACGTTGACACACCGGTCTCCAGACTGCAGCTTAGCGTCTCTCCGAACGACATACAACCTGGTCTGGGGCCAAGTGAACGACCAACAACCGTGGGCAAAACGACTGGACATGATTTGTGTGCCGAGAATCATCCGTAGGGTACACCCGAACGCTTGCTATCCTGTGATTTTCTACACGTCTTCTGGTCAAGTACAGCAAAAGCAACGATAGCGCGGGCCCCTCAAGCTGAAAAGTCATCAGCTTTGACCTTGTCTGGGTCAGGTGGGTCATGTGACCGGGGGTCGCTGTTTAGGCACAGAGTGGATAATTCCTTGACATCTCATGGAACACTTGAAAGCATCACATCTATCATCAACTTGATATTACGACATGATCGACATGAAATTATCCCAAAAAGGCAGTTTCGTGCAACATTCAAGAAACGTCGTCTCTTAAAAACAACTCCTGCTACAGTTCGAAACTGCCTCAAGATCCTCAAGTGCCTCATGTTAAAGGATGTTAAAGGAAGGACACTCAAAAAGGAAAACCCTCTCGCCTGGCGGCGCGGGGATCACCTGGGAGGTGGAGGCGTCGCCGGCGTAGCTTCACACCACATGTTAACTGCCAAAAACATCTCAGGAAAGCTCCCAAGCATCTCTCAAATGGGGTTTGTTTCCACATGTGTGGAACAGAACCTCTGGCCCCTGTCATCCCCTGTCCCTGCCTTTGATGAGATTCCGCACGACGGCTTCTGGCACAAAGCGTGCAAAGGTTTTGATGCCCACTGCAAGACGGCAAAACCTTGGCTACTTCAAAACCATTGAGCAAAAATCCATGGTCAATGGCCACCCACATTGGTCATTGCTATTGGCCGACCGACTGTTCATCCTGTTTTCATTGGGAACTTTGCTTTTCAGGAAGCACATCCTTTCCCAGAATCACTTCATCCTCAAAATCCCTGACTTTGACTAGCACAGATCTGGGACGCGACGCTCTGCGATCGACTCGGGCGAATCTCAGATTCACAATAAATATTGATGCATTCTTAATCCGTGTATAGCAATATATAGGCTGGAGGCAATCGCTAGTAGGTTGGAGGCCATCGCTTTTACGTTGGAGGCCATTACTATTAGGTTGGAGGCCATCGCTACAGTAGGTTGGAGGCCATCGCTACTACAGCATTTACGACATGTGCTTTCATGCGGTTTCATGTGCTTTCACTGGATGACGTCATGTGACGTCTCACCTTGATACCAGCGTGACGTCGTGTGACGTCGTGTGCACCACGAATGTTCCGAGGGGCGCATCCTGCAGTTCACAAATCTCACGAATGCTGCTGGTCGGTTCAGTCTGGCTGAATGAGCCGGGACGGACCAGGCAGGGACCAGGCAGGGACCAGGCAGGCACTTGAAGCCTTGAAATACCTGGATCATCCATTCTGGGTGTCCTGGCTAGACTGCATTCCATACCTTCGAGAGCACACGAAATGGATGATATGGATGATCCATAGATGAGAACGCAAACAGGATGATATGGATGATCTGCCTACATTGGATGATCCGGGAAGGTTCGTCAACAGGAACACCCCCATGCGCCAAGCGATCATGTTCAGTTGGGTGGTCAAAAAACGAGCCCAGAGCACCTTGCATAGAGGTGCCACTCATTGAAATAGTTACGTTTGCTCTGTAATTCACTAAAGGTTTTTGAAAAGCAAAGAAGTGCAGAAGTCGTCTGAAGTCGTTTCTTCATGCGGAAATACCCGGTCGGCACCCATGGAACACCAAATCTCTGATCTTTGGTCACATGATGTCACGCTGCCCAAAACCGCCCAAAAACATCTCGGACCAGAAGACATCGACATCGACATCGAATCAACTAAACATCGACATCGACAGCCTCCAACCAGCTCTCGTCCTTTTCAAAGTCGAAGTGCGCCAGGCGCCGCAGCATATATTCGAGCTCTTTCATCGGTGAGGAAACCTGGACATCCCGGTGCAGCTTCGTGTATGAGTCTTTTTGGGGCATGAAAGCCATGTTAGCTTCATGAGTCGTACATTACAAGTTGGAACAGCTGGTATTTGGATCAAATGGATATCGATTCGGGATCCTCACAACTGTATTCTGTCTATCTGCATGTTTTGTATGCTCTCACGTTTGTTCAAATATTATTGCATGTTTTTGCTGTTTCAGTGTGTTTTATTCATAAAATTAATACGATGATAGTAATTTAGAACACTTTCTCAAATCGACACAACCGACAATTAAGGACAAAAACCATTTGACATCATTTGACTGGGTACTGGCAAGCAATGTGGAATTACATACAGTGATTAAAGAAAAAACACATGCGCATGAAAGCTCTGAAGAAATGCATGGTGCAAGCAAATTGGCCAGCCTACAATACACTTGACAGGCTTACGCTTGACAATTGCCGGCGTCATCAATACCACGAAGTGTAATACACAAATTCACCACAATGCAGCAACATCTTTGGGGAAACACTGCAACGAATACAACAAACTGCAAACAACTGACGTTTGAGTCTGAGCAAGTTTGAGCTGACAAAAAGTAACCAAATCAAGTTAAAAGGCTGAGACACGCAATTGTGTATATATATATATATGTGCAAATAAAACCAAGTGTGCAACAATGCAAACAAACACGACACACACACACACCCCAACCAAATGCAATACCAATATAATCATGGCAATTTACATCGTTTAAACGACATGGTTCGCTCCGGTCACAAACCTGCCGTTTTTGGGTTGCATGTAGTTCAAAGGCAATTTCATGTCATGACGGGTTTCTCTATTTTCATTCCTCTCATGTTTGCTTTCCTTTGCTTTCTTCCTTTGCCTCTTTCTCTTTAATTCCTTCCGCTGTTCTCCTTTCCCTTTTATGCCCCCCTCTCTATCATTTTAGCAAACATATTTCAACTTTCATGTGATTACATTGTCTTGCACAGTGTTGGATGTTTTGTTGTTTCTGTTCATTTCCCTATGATATTGCATTTCCAGCGAATCAATTGACTTACGGCAATCTGTGATCTGTTGTATTAATTAGAACTCTATACCTGTTATATATATATAATGTATATATATATACTGACCGCGTGCAAGGCCTTCTGAAGGGTCCAGGATAGCAAGACTTCTGGTGTGTATGGCTTCCAGAATAGCCAGCCAAAATAGATGGCCTGCTTTGCTCCATCTTGCAGGCCTTATTCTAGATTGTTGGCATCATATGGCATCAGTGCCATCTTTAACAACGCTACGCTACCCATGGACCTCATGCCAGCCATTTGATGGGTCATACCTCGCAGGTCAAAACCCGAATCAAACCCTTTCAGGTACTCTCTTTGGAACTAACATGGAAGGGAAAAACCTGTTTGTAAAGGAACATGGTGTTCCAAGGGGCCATTCTCCATTTTGGTTCCAGGGAGCGCATCTGCTGTTCACCTTCATCTCACGACAAATAGTACAACATCCGGACATACCATGCCAGATTGGAATCTATCCAAATACAATCAAGAAAACACATTGGTTTCCACACAGCCAGCGCCGGCCCACACAGGTTTCCACGGATTCCTCAACCCCTTCATGAGCTTCGTTCAAAGAAGCCCCCCCAAGTGAAAGGGTTAAAGGGTCGAACCGGCTGATTGATGATCTTTACCATTCATGATTCATGTTGTAACTTCCACCAGCATGATCTTTACCAACACGAACAAGAACTCCACCTGCAAGTTTATCATCCACTAATTTCAATGCTCTCAACTGCACCCTAGTTCCTCCGTGCATGCCGTTCATCGGAACGCTTCCAGTGCTCAGCTCGGGGACCGCTGTGCCCAGGCCAAAGCCAATGCCAACCGTTATGACGGTGGTCACCAAGAATGCTATGGCCGCAGTTTGGAGGATCGTCATGCCCTCAGCAGGATTCTGCTCGTGGATGGATCGTGGACTCGAGGATTCCGGTTGGGAGTCCAGGAATTGAGGAGTTGGAATAGGAGGGAATATGCGGGAACAAAAAGAGGCCATGGGCAATCAGTTTTTGTGGGACGGGAGGCTTGTTGCAAAGGTGGGTTCTCAATGGTTCTCAATGGTTCTCACAGCTTTTCTGATTTGGGAGGACGAGCAAAATTCGTCAAAAGCACAGCTCGGTGGTCAGACTGTGCTCATGCTCAGTCTGCAGTTGCCGTTGGTTTTGTTCACCAGGTTTGAAATGCTGGCGTTCAATGCACCGCACCGCAAAGGTACCGCATAGCTTGAGCGCAAAGCACGGACACAGAATCACAAAGGACCAGAACCGTCTTCAAACAGCAAGTACAGTGGTTTCAGAGGCAACCAAAAGGTGGTTTATATGGACCCCCATCTAAAAGACATGTAGGGGGTTGTGCTAGCGGACCTCTGAAATAACATGGCTTCATACACGTGTGAATGTATCTCCTGAGCGGTCCTCCTAAGGAAGGATCAGCAGTGATCTCACTATATAACTTCCCAAAGACCCAAGCCAGCAAGTCAGCGGTCATTGAAAGAAATTGTAATCTTTTGGAAAACGTTTACTGTCACTGAACTGGTCAAAAGAGTGTGTTTCTTTGTATCTTGTGAGGGCATGACGAGAAGGACGATCGTCTGAGTCCACTGCCATCATATCGATGTTGGAGTCGATGGCCTGTCGCTTGATTCAAAAACCAGACCACTAAATAGATCATAATAAATCCAAAAACTCTGAGAGCTTCCAGAAAGTCTGGACTCTCAAACTGTTCCTGTAAGCTTGGACCTTCCAATGATGTCACAATCCCAGAGCGAAATCTCCTTCTTCACTCCCACCTGCTCAACTCTCAGCTCCCATCGTCAGGCATTGCTTTCCTCTCCACTCCCAAGACGACCAGTCAACAAACGCCGCCCTCTGCATACGCCTCCGGTTTGCCTCACTCCAGGGCACTTCGAATAAGAACCCTCGGCCTTTTGGTCACCGCTCGGTGCAAACAGCACGGTGACCCGCTACAGCGGGGCAGCACATGATGAATCATCACGCCAAAACGACCCCGTTTACGCCCACCTTTTTTGGGGGGGTTGGTATGCATCCGGACTGTTCCACTCCGGGACCCGTCGGACCCCTTCACTGACTTCCGGTGCCTCCAATTCCTCACTGACTTTCCCTTCGATGTGCTTGGCCATGGAAAAGAAGGCCACGGACGGGCTGACGATGATCACCATCCAACGGTTCGCCTCCACCAGATTTGCTCGGTCGTGTTCGGTCGCGTTCTGTCGCGGGCGCCCATGAGGAATTTTTACCTTTCCGATCGTGCGAGCTACATCGCTGGCCCTCACGTACAATCGTGAGGGCCACACGGCCACACGGTTCGCAGAGGAAAATCGTTGATCCTAGGCCGGCCATGCCATCCACTTCCATGGAACATGAGTCGGAGGGTAAACACTACGAGTAGAAGCAAAGTTAAAGGTGTTCAGTTTCTGCACATTACGTACTGGACCCTTCCATTGTGCTGTGGTGTGGACCCCTTAATCCCTTGATGGGCAGATTCACCTTTGGCCAATTAACATGTGAACGAAGCTGAAATAAACTGAACACATACACATACAATACAAAATACACAATTACTATACAATACTGGACACAAACGCGCGAACATCAAATATCATCCAGCCACCTTTGGAGTTCATGTGATTTCTTTGGAGTCTCATTACCCCCCAAAACACCAGTCCGGTGACCTCATCGGATCTCAGGTCCACACCGGATCAGGTCTGCCGCCGATGTTTGGGGTTCCCAAAGCGGGTGAGCTCCCAGACGACGCGACGCAGTTGGTTCTCATAACGAGAGCTACGTTCGTAGCGTCCTTGCTCCGTTCATAGTGATGCCCTTTGCTCCTAGTACGAGTAGCGTCCTAGCTTCTGCAAAAAATATATAACAAAACAAAAGACGCACCTCATCGAGCTCGACGGACATGGTGCCCACCTGTGAAGCTCGAGGGGCTTCGTTTTCGCGGTCCACGGCACATGGTTTTGTGATGTTTGGTTCATTGCATTGCGTGGACGAGCATTTTTGGACACAAAAACCAGACACATTGTGAGGAAGGCCCAGAAATGCCCAGAATGTTTGCCAGTTCCAAAGCAAAAGTACTGACTGCATAGACTGAGAGCTGATTCCTGGCACTAAAACTAGAATCATCTCAATTTTTTCAAAAAAAACAATCCACTACTGGTGTCACCAGTGTCCACTTCGATCCCACAAAGCCCGTGCCTTCCAAATTGAGCCTAACCGAGCCTTGCTGAGATGGATGTTCAACTGGGCTCTCTCAAGTGCGCTCCCAACACCGGCGTTAGACCGAGTGCGCTGAAGCCGGCGCGATACCGCCTGCAAGCAGTCCGGATCCGTGAAATCTTTGAACTCATTGCCGCAGTCCTCAGCCAGTTGTCTTTGGGAACGTTGGGGGAAGAGACCTAAAAAACCACCTGGAGAGCAGTGGTCTTTGTTTGATTCGTTGGGTGTCAAGGATGTTGATGTGGCATCTCTTCTCGTTCCCCTCCTCTTTTTCCTTTCCATCGTAAAAGTCACTTCTATAGGGGGCTCTTTTGAATGCTGGTGACTGTGGAAGGAACCCCAAAAGCACAAAAGAATTCTGTCACGAGGTCATCTGTCCGATGCAAGGGTTTGGGGGATGTCGGTGATGGACATCCTGCAGGCATCACAGGTAGGTAACAGAAAATGAGAGTAAAACAATGGTATATCATGGTACATCTACAACTTCACACCAGAAAGCTTTTCAACCTGAGTGTGAATAAGACGAGGTAAACAGAACATGCATCTAATTTAAAACGAAGGCATCTAAGGCGGCCACATGCACTCTGGAAGCAAGGTGTCCAAGGGTTTGTGTGCGACGTGCGAAAACTATTTTGCGGACTTTGGTTTGAAATGTCCTGGTTGTCGAAAAGGACCCCTCTGCTAAAGAGAAATGAGGAGAGGAAAGGTGTTGTTGAATTGGATTTGCATTTCAAAGCGGCATATGCTTCAAACAAATTGCACTTTGGCAGCATTAGGTATAATCGGCCGACGAGAAATACCGCCAACGCATTTTGAAAGCCCATCTGAAGCAAGCTCATTGCGTTTGTCTGGGGAAAACTCGGAATTACAGTAAGGTCGTTTGTGAATGTTAGCGAGAAATTGGACAATATGGCGGAATGCAAAGGCTTGACGCAGCACGGATTTATGATATTCGGAATAAAGTAAAGCTTTAGGTGAGTCAAAGGGGATAGGTCCGGACACGTCATCCTGGTACTTGGTAATTGTAAACCTGAAGCTATGGTGAAAGAGGTGGCTAGTTCAGCCCATGTGATGCCAGGATCGTTGGGCATTGCGGCTTGGTGTGGATCTGGCCACTTGTCAACGCCGGGTGCAACGGACTTGCATGGTTAGGAAAGAAGGGTGGAAGGCAAGTCCATGTGACAAGATTGATGTTTGGAGAGTGGTCTGCCACCCTGGTATTGGATTGTTTGAGACCGGGAGTCTCTTGCTCCTTATTATTATTCAAAAAAAAAGGAACATGTGTGTTAACGTCTCGAAGCAAAGCTTAGACATCCTTAATTTTGTTAAACTCTATGTTTTAAGTCTTGGAGAGCTTGGTCATAATACATTTGGCGACATAAAACGCAATCCTTTTCCCTTGATCGTTTAGCAACTAAGTAAGTCTGCTGCTGCATAATTCCCTATCATGTGTCGCAACTCTTCACACGAGTTGCTGCAGTAGCAAATCTTGGTGAGAGGAGATTTTGTGGAGGTCACCTCTTGTGACAAGTCAGGGTGGGCCACACGAAACAGTTTAAGGTTTGCAGTTATAAATGGTGAGCAATCAAATCCTGAATTATATTGATGACATACGCAGTGCCACACATATGATCAAACAAACCACTGCTTCAAGCTCGGCTCGCTAATAATGGATTGTTCCAACTGTGGGCATGACCCAACTGTGTCACTGTGTCACTTCGTGAAGACCGATTTTGTATCACTGTGCGGATTGATGCAAACTAAACTGACGAAGCTGCACGAAGCTGCAGTATGGAACTCTGGGTGTATCACACGAACTATCGAAGAGATATACCACGTTTGCTACTTCACATAGGTCTGGATTCCACGTGCGGGCACGTGATTTAAGAGTTGTTGGTAGTTTTGGGGCATACACGGCAGAACAAGTACAAGGTAGAGCATTTCCGGATTGGCTGCTAAAAAGTTGACTGCTTGTATGTGACGTAATCATGCGTCATGAGTACGAGTGCATTGCAACTTCTCGTGAGTATGCGTGCTGGTTTACCACAGCAGGAGCATAAATGGAGAAATGGTGGCATCCCATAACGACTTGCCTGCATTGGTTTGATAACCTCCCACTACATCCAAGAAGACGGACCGAATGTTCCTCCAGTTGAGGCTTGTTTTGATGGCGAAAAACACGTCCCGATCGATTGGACGATCAGCGATTCCTTTTCTGGATGGTGTGATTGTTAAGAGGTGTGTACAGTAGAAGAATGGAAGGTTTTAAATGATGCCACAACTGTCTGTGAGTAGATCAAGGTACAGCCCATTGGAACTTTTAACAATGGCAGGAGAAGTAATGGCAAAATTAAATTTGTCTGCATAGAAACAAAAAAATGCTGCCGGACCATGGAATTCCCCCTATATTGGATAGCTTTCTGGAAGAGAATCGGGCTGATTCTTGATCATAATAATGAGCAAGCCGGCGAATTACGCGGCAGGATTGGATAAGCACGGTAAAAAGCAGGGTCCTGCAGAGATTATGAGCAAATTGCATGACTAGGTATGAGGAGGCTTGTGGTTGGTGGCCTATGATAGCTTCAGTTGCAGCTCTGCGTAATCCTGGAAATGTGTTTCGCTGAGTGGAAAAGCTTCAACACCGAAATAAAAAGAAAAACCACTGGCATCTGGACTTTATGGGCCTTATCTGTCGATTGCGGAATGCGCTTTTTGATAGAACCATGAAACAAGTCTATTGAGCTTGGCCCGTAGCCCTGTTGTCAATAGGATTTCTGGACGCTGGTTAAACTCGAAAACTCTGGACAGCTTTCGTAGACTACTGAACCACATGTCGAGGGCTGTAGAAGGAATGCCCAGTCGAATCATTGCACGTTTTATTGTTTTGTTCGTGGTAGCATGTGAAAAGCTTTAAAAGCGTGTGAAACATGTGAAACAACACGGCTGGTTGGACATATGAGTGTCCTGATGCGCAACAAGGGCGAAGACATGTCTTCCTATTTCGAGTCAGGCGGAGGACCGCCCTTTGACCTTTGCGGCTTTGAAGATCTGATAGGGGGGCTAGGAGCGATCGGATGCTACGAACGGGGCTCCTGGCCGTACTACTAGGAACAAGAAGCTATGAGACACAATAAATAAAAACATATATATATATAATTAAGTTTAATTAGCATTTAACTTGAATTTTGATGTGATGCGGGCAATATATCCTGGTGATAGGGCGTCCGTTTTCTTGCATGGTCTGCGGTGAGGGGGAACTGAAGGGGCAGAAGTACGGTGCGTGCTTTCATCAATCAAGGTTGGAAGACCTTTGGGCAAGTTTTGAGAAGCAAATGGACGGCTCCCTTCTTCATTCCTTGACTCTTTCCTTTTTCCTCCTTCCTTCAAGAACCTTTCCATAAGTCCACAAGAATGGTATTGAGATCTCGAATGCACTCATACGGCAGTTGAAGTTCCTCGGCAAACCCATCACAGCCATGTGCTTTTTTATGGTTTTAGATCTTGCAAGACTGCATCAGCTTCTTAGGGTTATAAGTTATAAGTCTGAATAGGTAAGGGTGGGCATTTTGAAATCTGATCTGTCAAGGCATGTATTTGAGACGTCCAGGGGAGTTCCGAGATCTCTTCGCATGTGGTGTCACGACTCCATATTGGATTCCAGAATTGATGGAAGAATTTGAAGATAGAGTCAATGTCTCTACTACACTGTGTCACCGGTGTGATATAGTGCCTGCAGAAGGCATGATGCCTTCTTTAAGCTTGAAGTTTGGGAGAGATGACGATCGTGATAAAGGTGCGAGCATTGCAGTGCCAAAGCTGACAGTTGCATTCATCTTCAGATCGACTTCGGAGTTTAAGTGCACGATGCCCTTCTTAGATTTGCAAAGGGGTGTTCACTCCGGGTATTCCACTTCCATGTTGGGGACTCCTTCCGCAAGTCGGAGTGTACTTCGGATGCGCTGATCTCCGGTCAAAGCCTTTGGGTTCAGTTTCACATTTCAGCCATCCCAACAAAAACAAAAACAAATGAGCAGTTTGGGTGATGTCGCTTGCCTAGCACCACACGAAAACGAGGCTTTGTGAAGGCCAATTTCCGCTGGGCGGGGAGGAAGGCGCACTACTATCAGGCACCGCGATCAATCTGGCGACTTCTCTCATGAAACCTCCATCCATCCACGGCACAACAGCAGAGCCGTTTGGAAGTTGGCGAAATCGAAAGAACTGTTCCTCCTGGGAATGGCAAAGCCCGGAGTGTCAAACTCAGACCTAGGAGATCTCAATTGCCAACGGCCAGGGTGAACTCAACCAATGCGGATGTCTCTGCAATCCTTGTGCAGGGCACTTTACATGATGTTCACTGTTCACCTTGTCACTTGCACAGAAGTCTGACGAAAACTTTTGAACTCTTCAAACCAACGTGAACTGCTTTGATCTGCAATGATTTCAGTAATATATATGATTCGAGTTGTGCCGACCATCTAAACTGTAGCACCCACTGTCCCACCCGTCTCCACCTGACCTTCTCCACCGGTCTCCCTGGCTCCTGCAGGAGCTTGGCGTCCCACGTGCCGAAGCGCCGCAGGATCTCTTTGGAGGTGCTGCGCACCAAAACCTTCCGCAAAACACAAGGTGCACGTGATTTGATTGTTTGTTTATGTGTTGGTTTGTTCGTTGTTATCTGGCCGTTTTGATCAAGGTCTAGAATGGTGCAAGTGATCACTTTCATCAACCATCAATCCCAATTTCATAGATGCTATAGATATTGACACCCTGTGTGTAGATTTCATCAACATATATCATGGATAGCCGGGTCTACCGTTGACCCCGGCCCGGCCCGAGGCCCGGCCCGGCCCGGCCCGGCCCGTGCGAACTCCCTTCCCCGGCACAGCCGTCAGGAGGCCAGCTGACGCAGTGGGCAAAGGAAGAATCTATGCATCAAGATGTATCCACAAACATGTTAGAGGAGGGATCGGCAAAGTGTTTTTAGTTTGTGCGAATAAACCCCTTTCTACTGTTGTCGGTCTACGGAGCTGGAATGGGGGTTTAGTTTTGATTAAACCCTTTTTGGTCGATTGATATTCATACCCTTGGGTTTGGGGTTTGGATCAGGATGTAAACCCTTTGTGATCGAGTGAGGGCCCTTACTCGACCAAAAAGGGTTTAATCAAAACTAAACCCCAAGTACAGCTCCGTAGACCGACAATATTAGAAAAGGGTTTATTCGCACAGACTTAAAAACCAGCCGATCCATCCTCTATAAAGTGTTTGTGGGTACATCTTGATGCATAGGTTCTTCCTTTGCCCACTGCGTCAGGTGGTCTCCTTACGCCACGCCGGGGCGGTGGATTTGAGGTGTGGTTTGGTGGAGGACCTATACAAATGGAAGGACCGCAGTGGACCGGCCCGGACCGCCCGGACCGACCCGCAGTGGCCCGGCCCGCGGTGGCCCGGCCCGCCCGGACCGGCCCGGACTATCCATGTATATGCTATGGATATTTAGTGTCGAAAAACGATTCTCAAAACAACTCGCAGCAATCCGACACTCGGATCAGGTTTGGAACAGAGTCCTTTTGGGCCGCTCCGTGTGACAAATGAAAACCTAAGTTGCTGTGTTTCTATGTGAAGAGGCTCTTGAAATTATATAATGCTGATCCAGTCTTGGAAAAAACACAAAGGCGGTCAATGTTGGCACGAACCTTTGCAGGGTTCTGAAGCTACTAGTACCAGCGGAGGACAGCCTATATTGGGTATGTTTTGTCGCATGTGTCAGTGAGTTCATCTATCCCAAACACTCCACGCAATGGACTGAAATATTCATATATATATATATATTTGTATAAACTGACCACAAATCACCACCCCGATGTATAGGTATATATATATATAGGTATTTGTGCGAGTCCCATGGAGTGACTAGCTAAGTCAAACAGAATCGTTCGTTGTTAAGGCCTCAAAAGCTACAGTGTTCATTCTAAACCCTTCACTGGAATGCTGATAGGCTCATCAGTTCTCTCGTAGAGCGGGTCCTCCGAAAAAGGCCTTTTTCCCACCTGTCACGTGAGGGTTGTTAGATCTTTATGTCAGCTGCCTCACGTCCTCTCCTCCTCCTCCTCCTCCTCCGCCTCCTCAACCGCAAGTGTCGCTCGCGACGGGAGTGTTCCTCGCCAGACCTCAACCGCCAGCTCCTGACGGCAGTGTTCCCCACCGGCCCTCAACCACTACAACACACAATCACAAAGACACATCCACAGGACACAACCACCTCACACAACCACAAACACAACTACAAAGACACAATCACAAACACACAACCACAAAGACACACCCACGGCACACAACCCCAACCCACAACCGCAAAACATACCAACAGCACACAACCACAACACACAACCACAACGCACAACCGCAGCACACAACCACAACACACAACTACAAAGACACATCCGCAAACACACAACCACAAAGACACACCCACAACACACAACCACAACACACAACCAAAAACACATAAACGCAAACAAAATTGCAAAGACACAGTCACAATCACAAACACACAGCAAAAAAGACACGCCCGCAGCACACAATCGCAACGCACAACCACAGCACAACCGCAACACACAACCACAAACTCGTAACCACAAACACAACTACACAAAGACACAATCCCAAACATACAACCACAAACAAACATCCACAACACACAACCACGACGCACAACCACAGCACACAACCACAAACACATAACCACAAACACAACTACAAGGACACAGTCACAAACACACAATCGCAAAGACAACTGCAAAAACACATCCACAACACACAACCACAACGCACGACAACGAAGCACAACCACAACACACAACCGCAACGGACAACCACCGCACACAACCACAACACACAACCACCAACACACAAGCACAAACACAACTACAAAGACACAATCACAAACGCACAACCACAAAGACACAACCCCAACACACAACCACAACGCGCAACATCAGCACACAACCACAACACACAACCACATGCGTTCGTCAGCGCAAACATGATCAAACGGACGCGCGCACCCCGGTCAACAATTTCATTGAAAACCATTGCGCGCAAGAGCGGAACATGTCTGTGATTCTCTGACGGGCCTCATGACCCATGACCTTTACTACCTTTACCTTTGCGGCTCTACCCCCTCATGAAGCGAACTGACCGAAACGACCCCACAGCGCAAGCAACGAGTCCACATGTTCCAAGGTGCCCGCTCCCCTGCCGGAGCGCGCGCCTGTGTAAGGCAGTGTTGTTGTCGCAAACGCACAATGCAGAAGGTGAGGGTATGTATGAACAAAAATTGTTGCTTCTGTTTCAGACACGCGCTACCGCAACTCATGCGGTGAGCCAGCACGCTCCGGCCGCGAAGCGCGAATGAATCCACAGGTCACAGGTCTCAAACATTCTTCAGCCATATATCCCGTGTCCCACAAAGACACATCCACAGCACAGAACCGCAACGCACAACCACAAAGATACATTCAGCAACGCACATCCACAGCACGCAGCCACAAAGACATAGCCACAAACACAAACACAACCGCTATAACACACACAATCACAAACATGCCAGACAATATGGCAAGTAGATTTTTAGAATATATACCAGATAGAATGTCACAATATGTCAAAGAACATGTTTCTGTTGTGTGTCCTGTACACCTCTTCTTCCTTTGCCTTTACCGGACCAGACACCTGACAGGTGGCGTGCCACTGTCTTGCAAGAATGTCAGTCACATCTGACAAGCAGCAGAACGTGCCAGAAAGAATGTCGAAATAATGTTTCAACACATGCAAGAAAAGGTGTCAGATTGACATGTCATGGTGGGGATCACTCGAAGTGAAGTAGCTGGTTTCAGGCCAAGTTCCCTGCTGTCAACCTTGAAAAAGAAACCGTCGCAAACTCTTTGATGTCGACAAGGCCGACTGGAGGATACTATGGAGTGACTATATCTATTTCTATCCTTATATATATATACACGTCAAATGAAACTGCAGATGGCTTCAACTCGTATTCACCCAACCAAACCCCGGCCTCAGTCCACATCAGACAGAACAGGTTGCTTTGGATGTTCACGCGTTGCGCGAGGGTAAGCAAGCGAAACTTGTGTCGATTGGGTCGCATCTCGTTGAGAATGGGTGGCGTGCAGTAGACTTGTTCACAGATGTTGGTGTTCAGCTGGGCCAGGCGCTTCTTGAGGTTGCGGCGATAGCTACGCAAAAAAAAAGAACTAGTGACAGAACCACAAGACTTAAGCAAAGACCCAGCGAGAGACGAGGGTTACAAGGACATTGTTGTTTGGAATGTCCATGCGCGTGGAATGCGTCGACGCAGTAGAAGAATCTGGTCCATGGAAGCCTGGGCTTTGCATGCACAGGCTCTGGCTCTGTCATACACCAAGCAGTCTGCCCGTGGAAATAGCGAACGAATGTTTCTGAGAGCGGCAAGAGCAGGCTCACGCATAGACTCGAGTGACTCAAGGCCCAAGTTGCGCCTGGTGGCTGGGTCACAAACGACCATCCAACAATGACCAGCGCAGTCATTTTGCGCTGGTTGGATGGAGGAAACAAGGTGCTGAGACAAAAGGCTTCGTAGAGCTCAAGATGTCGGTCGCTGAGCTCATCATCAATCACAATGGCCTGATGTAAATTCAACGCCTTCAACTAACGGATGGCCATGTGGCCATGTAGTAGAGCAAAGAAGAAGCGTGCAACTTGCGAAAGTCCTGCGCAATGTGCGCAGCTGCATCTGCAGGAGCGGTGAGGCCAAGTGCCCAAGGAATGTAACTCTTCGTGGTACTGGATTTATTTCGCAGCAAAGGCCTTCTTGCTGTTCACAAAGAGAGTGCCATCGCACAAGTTTGCAAGGTCGATCGTGTTGACCTTAGTTCCATTCTCCCGCCTATAGCTGTAGGCGCACGATGCCCTGCAGCTCCTCTGGTTGCATTGCTTTTGCACGTGAATGACATTGATGGGACCATCCAGTGTGTAGAGGACAGCAGCAACATCGGTGCGGGGAAGCAGCCTGCCACCACGGCCGGCGCAAACACAAGTGTCAAGTGAGGTGGTGAGTTTCTGAGGCGTGGAACCTCCCACAGCATCCACACACAAGGAGGCGGCCCACGAATGCTTTTGCAACTAGTAGAAGGTGAACTTCTCAGGAGACAACATGTCCATTGCTGTGCCAGCAGTCACTGCAGAGGTAGCACCACTACCTTTCTTCAGAATCAAGCCTTCTCGGCGCTGCAAAGCAAAGAAGTGCGCCATCTCGTTGTCATGAACAATGTAGCCGCCATCTGGCAACTGCTTCCGACCGTGCTATTGGCAAGTTGTACTATCGGGAAACAGAAGACTGTTGCCGTAGGAGACAAAGAATGGTCCGTCTCGATCACAAACCACAGGAAGACCAAGTCTTTCCAAGGCCAGGATCAAGCAGCCGTCTTGGAGGCCAACCTTGGAACCAGGGCCACTAAGACCCTAGTGGAGGAGACTGTGTATCCAAATCAATGGGAGAGGTAGTTACGGAGACAAGGTGGTCGAACTTCAAGGAAGGTTCCCGCGTGACATGAGCCGGGGAAGACCAACCAGCACTTGCGCGATCTCGGTCCACATCAACCAGATCTCCATGTGTCGCCTGCGCCAACCAAACATGCGCAGTTGGGTACTCAGCAGGTTCTAGTTTGGGCACACCAGCTAGAGGAATTGAAGCCGAAGGACACCCAGACGCGAAGGCCCACGCTTTTGCAGAGGAAGTAGGTTGCGGAGGCAAGCAGCATCAGCGCGCAACAAGGCATCCAAGCAAGGTGCGGTAGAGGTAGCAGCAGGAGCAGGAGTTGGACTGGGGTACATTGGATGGTCATATTTGAGGAACCTATTTGAGCTGCTGAGTCTCCCATGCAACTGAGGCTGCGTAATTCTCTGGCTGTGGCCCACCATTTTTCAATTACGCAGGATAGGTTGGCAGTCCTGCACCAAGATGTCCCTAGAGTCTGGATTGATACAAGCAACTCTCTGTACTGGGACGTGCTTCTCGCTGGGTGGTCAGAAGTAGATGTACTTCTCAGCAAGGACTGTGAAAGCAGCTCTCCAGAATTACCACAGCATCAGCATTGGCAATGTTTCCCACAGCTGGGCGAACAAGCTTTGTGAAAGGGTCATGCAACACTTCCGAAGAGAACAGGCCATCAGCGTCACCTTCTTGACCTTCGGGGTTGTATTGGTTACCCACCACGATGCGGAGCTGGTGCATGACGAACTTAGCAGCTGTCCACCTGCATCAGGGACGAGTAGCAGTAAGAAATTGCTGTAAGCTATTTATGAAGCTAGGACATGGCATTTTTGCGCCGTTGAAGACAGAGAGTCTCTCTTTTAGGCTTGCTTCTGAGTCAGCCTCATCCGAGAAGGCCTTCTTCTTTTTGACAGTCTCAGAGCCAATCTCACCACCGCCAAAGATGGCAGGTGGCCTTGTCAAGGAAAATGCCTCTAAAGAAGCAACCACAAGGAGTGTCCACGAAGCTGCGGCAAGAGATCTTCAAGAATGGTCAGGATCTGTGGTTGGATAGCTTGGATGGTCAGGTCATATCGGTCAGACAACTTAGCTGAGCAGCCGTCGTTGGCAAGACAGTCCAAGGCTCTTTGCACCAGGTTTTTGTTTCAGCCATGGATTGGAAAGCCTTCTTTCTGGATATGCCGATGAATCCATCGCATTTGCTGGTTTCCTTGCCCCTCTCCCCATTGCTGATGATGAGCTCCCAGCCAGCATCTTGTTCAGCTTCGCCCTGAGGCGCATGGCTTTGGCTCAACGGGCCTTCTCAGCAAACAAAGAGAAATGCCAAAATTGATGTCCACCTAGCACCCACAGGAAGCCACAACGAGCCTGCTGCTTGTTGAGAGATGCCCAAGCAATTTCCTTAGCCTGCCCGCGCAAGCCTGGATACATAGGAGGGCTTCACCTTCTCAGTCTTGATGTAGTAGTGCTTGATGACGCAAAGCTTGCCCTCATTCTGCAAGAATAGAAAGAACTGAGACAAGAAGGAGAAGGTTGGATGCTCCTTCAAAGTAAGAACCTCGGGAAGCTCTTGCCGAGCCTTGTCTCGGATGATGGCCTTCAAACTGTCAAAGTCAATGGCCGCAGGCTCGAGATCCCACGCCAAGTCGACAAAGTGCTTGATGTTCAGGGAAGCGTTTGAACGCCCTGAAAGCAGAAGAGACCAGAAGGAAAGGAACACTAAATGAAAAACAAACATATTTTGGTTGCGTATTGGAGACTAGCAGCTCTTTCAAGGGTAAAGTGGAGGTCGTCACAGATCCGATGGGCAAAGGACCGACGTGCACATGGCCGCTCTGTCAGCGTTGGATGTTCGGTTGCCCCGATTGCGTCGTTGAGAGACATGTTCTCGCCTTCCACGTCCATGTCAATAGACAAGTCTCAGAGAGGTAGTGGCAATGCAAGTTATGCAGGAAAAACAAGGCTGTGAGCCGAGTCAAACAGAAGAGGTAAAGAAAAAACAAATCCAAAAATCCAACCCAATGTGCCGCAATGAGCATTGGGTTAATAGTTTTGGATTTTTTTGGATTACTTATGCTATGAACCAAAAAACAACTAATTACTAATAACCCAATAGTTGTTGCTGCAAAAACATCCATTGGGTTGGATTGTTTTTGGATTTTTTGGATTGTGGATTTTGACAGCAGTGCAATGCAGAGATTAAATATGATGATTGTGTGGTTCGTGACTGCAATGCAATGCAAAGATTCATTATGATGATTGTGGTTGAGTGCAGTGCAGAAAATAGGACAGAATGAGAAACAAGTGTACTACCGTAGTCCCTTGTTCTGAAAAAGATAACTGACCCGAAATCGTTTCGAGGAAAACAAAAAAGGCCCGAAACCTGTCGCTTGGCAAGCGTGGACCCAAATTACATGAAGAATTACATGAAGAAATACTATATATAAGATTATATTTATATAAGTACCATATAAGTACCCCATTTCAAGAAAGGTGGATGTACACTTGGACCCCCAAAAGACCCATTTTGATGGTCACTGCAATTTGATGGTCTCTTCAACAAAAATCGTCTGCAGCATGGTCGTTTCCCACAAAATCTTAAACATGTCCTTTTCAGCATGCCAAGCGGATGAAATGGCACCTCTGGTCACAACTCAAACATCGGGAGTCTCCCGATCTGAGGATGTCTTGGAGATCCAGAAGATCGGACAACTTCGGCACAACCGCAGCATAGGTACCCAACACCACACCCAAATTTTCTGCACATGTCCCCAACTTGTCCAACAAGAAACACAAAAGTTCATCCCCTAATTGTCCCTATACCAGCACCGCTCTTCGAAGAAAGCTTTACTCGCTTGCCTCCTGCGAGTCTTCTGCTGCCACGATCTGGTTCAACGGCAGGCCAGCAGCTCCAACCAGAAGCCCAGGACGTTGAGCTGAGCGCAGTGTGCCGTGCGCAAAAAGGTGCGCAGTGCGCAGTGTACGCAGTGCTTGACTCAAGGGTTTGGGTTCGCAGGAGAATTGCACGGAAATAGGGCCACAAAAAAGGAGGAGAGGACATGGGAGGAACTTGGAGACGACGGCATCTAGCACGATGGGAGGGATTTGTGCGGCTGGGTCCTGCAGCGGATTCGTTGGTTTGGGAGATGGTGAGGATGGATTCATCCACTGATTATCTGAGTTGATCGGTTGAAGAAGAATTGGCTTGCATTGCAAAGTTTTTCCAGAACGAGTGTTTCTTCGAAGGAAAACCCGTGTTGTGGAAAACACTAACATGGTTCCATGATCTTTGCAGTGTCCACTTGTCAAGTAGGTGTCTGTCCTTGCTGTGACCTCTCACCGGCTTGTGGGAGAAGCCAGAAAACTGCATCACGTGTCACCAACAAACGGATGCATTTTTTCTGACTTCAGAGAAAACCCTGCTTGACCCTCACACAAAAGGTTTATGGTCTCATGGGGGGGAGTTGATCTCGCTTCTAGAACAAAATCCCTCCCTAGTAACCTGTCGAAAACCGGACGGTGATGATTGCAGCAAATGAGCACCCTGAGTGCCTCAGTCTTATTAAACACCTGCATTCCTAGCCCATGCAAAACCTGTAGAGCACCACCGAAATCAATGGGTTCCGGGGGCCTCCACTGAAATGGCCAAGTGAGTTTTGGAGATCTAAAAAACACGTCGCACAATGTTGCTTCAATTTGACGCCTGACCCAACTGGGCCAAACAAGGACATGGACAGTGGAGTCAGTGGACGACATGTCTTTCAGGCGAGTCGCGATGGTAGCGCTGACGTCAGACCGTTTGCCTAAGGGTCTTACCACCTACAAGTGCGTGATGTTGATTCTGTCTCAAACACAGGTGTTGGAGACATGCTGCAAAAATAGTGCCTTTCTAGCGATGGGGTCGCGTGGAACCCTATTATTCTTCCGAAGGAACAAGTGTTGATCTATGTTGATCTTGGAGAACGCGATGTTGCTGCAGGGTTCTCTGAGACTCAACTTCTACGTCTGACGCGTACCGGAAAGAAGGCTGTCTGCGGCGGGGCCTTGGCTCTGATGGTTCACCACGAAGACCATGGCATTGCCTTGGGTTTCTGCACATAGCATGGTATAGTGGGATGAAAGCAAACGGTAAATAGCGTTCTTGCTACTAGTCGCGATGCCCTTGTTACCAGTAGCTTGTTGCTCCTAGTAGTAAGGCCAGGAGCTACGTTCGTAGCGTCCTTGCTCCGTTCGTAGGGATGCCCTTTGTTCCTAGTACGGCCAGGAGCCCCTAGTAGCTTCGTGCTCCGTTCGTAGCGATGCCAGGAGCCCCTAGTAAGCAAACGGTATAGGAAAACGAGGGGAAAACTTCCGCATCGATGCACTGCGCCACATCGATCGACAAAAAAAACAGACTTGGAAGGGGTGGAGGATCACTCGTCAGATGTGTGTAGGTCCACGGTAGTTTGCTTATTAAGCTGTGTCACCAGTTTGACTCCGTGAGTAGAAATGTATACCATATAACCGGACCATATATACATATTGTACACAATTATACCCTGCTGTTCATGATTGACAGCAGCATTCTCATCATCTACTGAAACTATCTAAACTGCATGTTTCACTGAAGTTGTTCCCTGAACTCCTCCCCTTCTTGCCTTCAACTCATCACCCATCATAGTCGGGTGCCGAGGAACTCGGATCGATGGGAAATTGGTACGTTGAGGCTTCAAGTTCCTTTTTCAAGGTCTGGAAAGCCTGGCCGCCCAGCGAAGGAAGCTCGTAGCAAGAAGCTACGCACGGTGGAGGCCATCGCTATTAGGTTGGAGGCCATTACTACTATACAGTAACAATAAGCTACCAGGAACAAAGGGCATAGCTACTAGGAGCAAGAAGCTACTAGTAGCTTCTGGCCTTACTACTAGTAACAATAAGCTACTAGTAGCAAGAAGCGCCCGGTGCAGGGCAGTGGCACCGGGTGCGGCGCCGTTCGGCGCTCGGCCGAGTTCAGTTTGGCGCTCGGCGCGAGGCCGACCACGCCGAGTTCGGGCTTTGGGAGACCAAAGTAGCGTCCGATCGCTCCTAGTAGTAAGACCAGGAGGCCCCTAGTAGCTTCTTGTTCCTAGGTTGGTGAGGGCAGGTGAGGGATGACTTCAATACCGAAAGTGACCGTGAGGATTGTGTGGAAGAAACAGTGCCCGTGGTGCCTTCTAATTCTGTTGGCGAGAAGGTTTTTGTTGGACAGGATCACTTGAAATAGAAGGGACAACATCTTGGATCTTTCCTTTGACCTCTTCACATAATAAGAGCAATGAACCTTAAGGGTGTCCAATTGAGAGGAGATGCAACTTGAATCCAGTCACCTTCGCAGAGAATGAAACTAGATTTGCCGATTTGCCTCTAAAGTTTCGGACCTCCTTAAACTGTAGACTTGATACGAACCTCTCTGAACCTTCCCAAAACCCCAAAAACCCCAAAACCCCCACCCATGGCTCGGCTGGCCTCATTGCAGCTCTGTCCCACCGCTTGCAGCGTAATGTCTGCTGCGATTACGCCCTGCGGTGATCCATGCCGCAGGGGAGATCAGCAAAAACAGGCAAGGAACACGCAAGATGGATATGTGTGGAGGCCATTGCTATTAGGTTGGAGGCCATCGCTAGCGGGCTGGAGGCCATCGCTAGCGGGTTGGAGGCCATCGCTAGTAGGTTGGAGGCCATCGCTAGTAGGTTGGAGGCCATCGCTAGTAGGTTGGAGGCCATCGCTAGTAGGTTGGAGGCCATCACTATTAATTAGGTTGGAGGCCATCGCTATTAGGTTGTGTATGTGGAATTGTACATCTGCGCTCACCCCGCCCCAGTATCGACCAAAGTTTGCCGTGCTATTGACAACAACATTTTCCAAATACCCCAGCACAAACATTTTGTTCCTGTGTGCTTAACTGCTAGTTAAACATGACATAACATAACTGATCGTATGTCTACTCTGAACTTGATTGGATGTCAAGGGGATCAACAGGGGAGGTCAAGCAGTGGATGTCATTCAAGTCAGAACAGGCTGGTCCATCTGTGCAAGCCATCACAAGTCATTCTCCATGTCTCTTCGTTAGAAGCAGGCAGGTTCAGATCCTGCCCGCCGGTGGAGTTGTTCTTCACCAAGACGTCTAAAATGGAGAAGGCATTGATCTCAGGGCCTGGAAGCAGGAGTAGTCCCCGCAGTAGGCCACTGGTGCAGTTTTGGTCAATCCAATGCTGCCATCCAAGTAGGTATAAAGCCCAGACCACCTCAGCAAAAAGTTGCTGACTGAAAACACATCACTTGGCAAAACTGATTGTTCATTGTCCATCGCAAGCTATAATAATGAACACCAAGCCTGACTGTGCGTGTATCAACCAACAAATTCTTCTGTTCCGTAAGACTTTGCTGAGACACTTCTGGAAGACTCTCTAGACTCCGCCGCGACGACTAAGGCTTTAAACTGACTCAAGGTTTTAAACTCAATGTTTGCAGAAACATTGTTTAACGCATCGCCTAGTGCTCAGGAATGATAAGCATCTATATAGTGCATGGATCGCACAAAACAGCACAAAACATGACATGATATGACAAGCTCGGAATGCTCAATAGGAAATTCCGTCTGCAACCAAAACATCTCTTCACGTCAGCGCCATGAGACAACCTTCTTGTGGGACCAGATTGCGTCGATTGCAGTCTGTACCAAGGTCGTTCCAAGGGGAATGCCCCTCCACAGGCTGGATCCTCAGCAACAGCATCCAAAGAAGGGCGTGTATTTAAAAGTGATTGCAATGCACAAACAACTGGTTGGATGTTTGCGCGGGAAACAACATTCTGAGATCTCCTGTTCCTTCACCATCCTCTGGAGATCTCCGTGATTCTTCATGCATGTTTCAACATCCGTGGAACGCTGGAACGCCGGTCTCTCCGCTTCCAAGTGTCATGTCTACTGATATTTTGCTGTGCAAAAGCGCCTTCGGCGGTCTTTGCATGGCCAGGGCAATCCCACCAGCGGCCCTGGCACACGGTGACAGGTCGAGGAAAGGGCACTCCCAGGTTTCACCTTCTAAGATCCAGTGCCCGTGTCTCCCAAAAAATGATCCACACGCTTATGATCCCACCATCCATTGACCGTCTAAAACCACCCTGTGGGAGAATCAGGTGGACTCAATCCAAAAACAATTGCCATCTATGTGAGAATTGGTTTCAGAACTTCGTGACTGTGAGTGCACTGGGCCATGGTGTGGGTAGCTGCTTGCTTTACTCGAAATATCTACGTACCAACCTTCGTTTTTGCACAATAGATATCCCAGGCAAATTGACCCTAACATTTCTCGCCCAAAATACAAGTCTGTTGTCTGGAACACCCAATCTGGAAAATAAAGAACAAACAACATCGAACTTCCAAAGACCTGTCCCGACCTGCCCTGGTCTCGCCTCCACAGGCCCAGATGTCAAGGATGTCCCGGTGAAGCGACCACCTGGGGCCACTTGAATCGGGCACGAGGGGCCGAGGTCCACAGCCACTACAGCCCTGAAAGTGGGATTTGTTTTGTTTTTTTTTGCCCACCTGCCAGGAGAGGGTCTTGAGATTTTGATAGATTTTGACAAAAGGTGGCAGTCCTCCTTTTCCTCCCTGTCCTGCTCTGTCTGAACATGCGGACCTGCGCACCTTCGAGAGTGCCAGAAGATATGCCAGATAGAATGCCAGAAAAGACTATTTTCTGAAAGGATGTCAAAAGATATGCCAGAAAAATGTCAGAAGATATGCAAGAATTTACAGTTGTCAGAAAAAATGCCAGAACAAAGGCCAAAAGGTATACCAAACTTGAGAGAGGAGGGGGGTGAACGAAAGGTAGCAGGGAATCAGGCGTAATCCGGGAGGAGGTGAGAGGCCCCCCACTTGTTTGAAGAGAAGTGAGTGAGCGTGATGAAAGAAAAACTAATGCACAAACGCTTGACAAAACCTCCAGAAGCTGTAGCGGTCTAGCGGTTTCAATACAGGTTGACGTGCCTTCAAAAGGAGTCACATATTTCTCAAATGCAACTTCGGATTTACATAGTGACGTGCGGCGACCCTGTAAATTGCGTGGCCGCAGGCCATGCTTGCAAACAGGACGTGCTCAAAAACACTGGTATTTACGAGGTTTCGTTGCCGTCGATCCACAGCCGCGGCAAGGTCTAAGGCCACGCCTGAAGACAGGAGGAGCTGAAAACACTGGTATTTACAGTATTTTGTAGCCGTCGATCCAAAGGCGCACCACGGTTGAGCGCTGGAAAAGCGCAGAAAACCGTGTAAATACCGGCGTTTTCTGCCGGGAAGGTGCACAAAACCCTGTAAATACCATAGTTTTGTGCAATTTTGAAGCCTCCAAAAGCCTCAAAAACCCTTTCTGACAAAATCTTTCCTGGTTTTTGGTCTTTTTTCGGTCATTTTTCTAACCGAGACGCATCAAAAACCATCGGTTTTTGTGGTGTTTTTTGCCGGACAGCCACAAAAAACGCTGTAAATTCCATGATTTTTTGTCACTGCTGAGGACTGGAAGAGCTGAAAACACTGATATTTACAGTGTTTTCGAACGGTTGACCCCGAGGCGCGCTAGGGTGGAGTTGAAAGGGGGGGGGGCGGGCCCCCCGGCCAGCAAACGAAGATGTCGGGGACCATTTCTCCGAGAGATAGGCTGCAGCTCTGGGTTAATACATTTTTGCTAAAGCAAAAGGAAAACTCAGGTAGCGTAACCGCTACCTTTCGTGATGAAGTGCGGGAAGGATGTCAGAAGATGTGCCAGTCGTCGCTTCATTGCCTTGTGCAATATCGAATTTTGTTTGAATCTGTATCAGAACATATGTCGCAACAAGTGGCAGGTCTGATGGCAATGTCGAATGCATGGCCGAACACATATCAGAAGCAAAGTTGGACCATATGTCGAAGCACATGTCAAAGCACATGCCAGTTTGGTGCGAGAGCACATATCAGAAGTACATGCTAGAAGTTGTCTGAATGCATGCCAGACTTCATGGCAGGACAAAAGTCAGAACACATGCCTTAAGGTCGTCAGAACGCATTCCAGAACATTTCCCAGCCTTTATGATAGATGATGTCTCAGAACGCAGACCAAACTCGATGCCAGAACAGGTGTCAGAACATTGTGTCAATGCAGGCAGCGTTTGTCAGGATAGTCTGTCAATACATGTTCACTCGAAGAAGAGAAATTCTTCATTTGCTTCCATGCGATCACGAAAGGCGGTGGTCGTCCACCTTTTAAAGGATCCCAGACACATCCTCGTTGCTTTTTTCTGTCGCTTTCGCTTGTTAGGGCTGATCCGACTCCCCAGCAAGCCCCAAATTACAGCGTTTTCATGCGTTTGCAACGTTTTCTTTGTTTGTGAGAAGCGGCCCTGGAAGGCCACGTAGAGGAAGTCGGCGGCGCCGAATCCTGAGCGAGAGTCAATGCTTTTGGTCTGGAGGATGGAGGAGTGGAGAGCGACAACATGTGATTCTGTAGTGTGTGTGTGTGTGTGCATGTTGTGTACTAGGGGCCAACTGTTCGTTACAAGCGATTTCCGGAGGCTGTGGAACACCCAACTGTTATTTGTCCCAGAATAATTACCCATATTATGCAAGGGACATGGACCGAAACTGGTGGAACAATCAGTATTACTAGCACCAACATGGTTGCAAACCTTGCTTTTGCAGGGCATGTAAGCACTTGTTCAAGCCCCTACCTTATTCCTTCCAAAATGTATGATGGGTTTGGGCGTTGATTCACAGTCCCTTTGATACATCAAATAAGCTTTGGCCCCCTTCAGAACTTGGCAAGAACCCTACTTCTGTTGCAGCAATGTGACAACCTTCATGAGCACCACCATTCTTGGGGTTCTCGCGTCAGTCAACATCAACTAAATCTGCAGCTGGGGCTACAATGGCTTCCAACAGAAATGACAGACGCAGATCTAGTTTTATTCAGCCCTAGAACAGGTCTACTCCCTTCGTCCCAAGGGAGGTCAATTGCGCCAATGCAGTCATCAAACAAACATAAGCCTTTGAGGATGTTCTTGAAACTACGGGGCGTTGCGAGCCCCGATTTGCTTCTTCAAACTCCCACTTCCCCGCCCGCCACATACTGATCCTACTTGAGCCATTGTATCACTCACAAAACGGAAAATATAGACCATCCATGCTTGTGTCAGTAGACAAGCATGAAACTGCAATTCTTCAATTTGCCCCAAAGATGCTCCTCAACCTTCTCCGAGCCACGTTTTTGACGTTTTTGGGCTAATTTCACATTCTGTTGCCTTGGATTTCGGAAAGCAGCTTGGCACACCGGTCGGAAAGGTGGACAAATGCTGCAGGAGACGATACAACTGTGGTGTATTCCAAAGGGGAATGCTGTACACAACTTGCAACATGTCTCTAATGATCTGACCTACCCTTGAGTGGGGTGGTTGTGCTGGGCAAAGATCAAGGATGATCAGATTTCATGCTTTTCGCTGGCTGGTCCAGCAACATCCTTGCTACATCCCAAGAGGTACGACTTGCAGGTGATCAAGGCTATGCCAAATTCCGCCGAGTTGCTGCTTCTGAAGCTCCAAGAATGCACGATATGCAATGAAGGCTCTTTGGCCATCCTCGGTATTGAGTGAGCAGGGGTCGAACTCGACAGCTGAAAAGGCCTTGAAGGACGCTCTGCAAGTCCAAGCTTCGCTGGCTCCAGTCCAAGAGGAATCAAGCGCATGATGCGCTTGCCTGCAGCATCCATTGTCTCAAATATCTTTGTTCCAGCCAGATGGCGAGACTTTTCGGCACCCCTACGCTCAACATCGCTCAACTATGGAAGGTGAACGCACATATGATAGATCCAATCACCAGACTGCTGAAGAAATCCTTCATTGAGCCCGCAGCAAGACCCCAAAAAGATGCATATGCCCAGCAACATGTCGCCCCATAGGGCATCCAACGCCAGATCAGGTGGAGCCAAAACCTGGGTTTTTGGGAGATCGGTGCTGCAAAGCATTGCACGTGCTGGCTCTTAGTCTAAAGCTGGTTGTGCAAAGGCAAGATCAACTGATTCACTGTCTGAATGCGACTTCTCGACTTGCACAACAAGATACAACTTGATGAAAACTGCTAGGTGGAACTTCCCAAAATGATACCCCGTCCCCTTTCGATGTGCTTGCCCACATCTCCGGCCCCTTTTCGATGTGCGGGCCGCAGAATGCGCCAAGGCACTGTCTCCCACACCATACCACTGATCCTTTGGAGGATATTACCTGAAAGGCTCACGGCTCAACCAAGCACAGCCAAAGAACCCAAAAGAACCATGTGCAAACTCAGCGAACGGAACGGAGCGATACGGAGCGCTGAACGAAAAACGCATGCGAGCGTGCTCTGCGAACTTGAGCGAACGGAAAAGCATTTCAAAGACCGTTATACCCCTTTCAACCCGAAAGGATTTGGACCACAGCCCCCAAAGAAGTCACTTGAAGGTGCCATTCGGTCATACATGTTGTGGTTTACTAGTTCTACAAAAAAAACTGACTGAAATGTTCAAGTACATCTGGGACAAATGATGGGAGACGACCCATTAACTCAACGGTTTCAAGCTTTGTCTTGTCACTACCAAGGAAACGCCGCGGACACTCCGCGGAAACACCGATCTTTTGGATGCGCTCGATCAGTCGGAGTCGAACAGCGCGCCCGATCCGCGTCGAACGAAAACAGAGCTGACATTGACAATCGAAAACGGAGCTGACATTGACAATTTTAGAGCCCCAAGATAAAGGCCCTCTGATGCTGAGATATCAAGGTACTTGTCAAGCTCATCAAATTCCACCAGTAAGCCATATCACTTAAAAGCAGGTTCCATAAAACCAATCTTCCGTAAACCAATCTTGGTGGTGTCGGCCACACCCTAAACATATCGTTGCTGTCATCGAGGTGTTGTGCCTGGTGTCGTGGCATGCTCCGAAGCAAAGACGATCCCAGGTGCGAGCAAAACTTTAACACATAACATGACTGCCAATGTCACAACAACTGTGTATAACTGTGACTACCTATCAAAACCTGACTCTGCGGTGTATCTTTGCTGGCTTCCATCCACACCTCCATCCACCCATCTGTCCCATCTTTCGCATCGGTTACGGTGTAGAAACAAGGCATTTCGAGTGGACAGGTCTTCAATCAGCTCAAATTGACGACCCACTGAATTCTGAAAATTCCTCAGTCCGTGTGGGAGGAAGTTTCGCGGAGGCGTGCGCTGGAATCATGCGAATTCGCGTCTTAGTGTATGGGCGCTGGGTTTTCAACAAAAACACTCCTGAAGCTGATGGAGCATTTCAAAGATCCAGAAAACAGTACTGACCCCCAAGGTGTTTCCCTGGAAAATACAGGCCAACCCTTTTCCACCGGATGTTAGCTTGTCCGCTGACTGAGTACTATGCATCATGAATCAACAGTGCACACCGGCCAACGCCCGACAAAAAGCGATGCGCATCCACCAATGTCATCAAGAGCTTTCTGCTTGGTGTTTTCATCGTTGAGATCCAAAAAGCCAAAAGGTAGTTAAACATCATCCAACTTCATCTCTTCGAACAGTATATCTATATATGCCAATATTTTGATCATATAAACCATTCGACACAAATCACGGATTTCAGGTAGGTCAGTCTTCCGCATCCATACAGTACCTGTGGTAGCGTTGCCTAATGTATCTTCAAGGACAGTAGTGAGTAGTGTCATGTTTCAAGAGTGATTTGAGCATTCAATGTGCACACATATTTGTAACCCGATGGTAGTCACTATAGTCTCAAATTTTCTGCAAGAGATCTGCATGGCGTAGGCCTGGACAGTTTTCAATGCTGAATTGTCATAGCAGTCGATGTCATATTGATCGAGGGTAAGTTGTTATTAATTGACTGTTTACCCTGAGTTGTTTACCCTGTGTGTAATGCAGCTGTTTAACAACAAACAAACATGAAAGCTTGAAACCGGTTGTGTGGATAAAATTGAACTACAGCCCAAGCAGCCCGCCGGAGCATAGACGAGGGCCGGTTGTCACTAGACTAGACTCCCCAAAACTTTTAACTTGCTCGTTGAGGATAGCTCTGTCATGCAGGGGTCTATGATCAAATTGCGCACATGCACAGAAAACATAACACTCAGACTACAATCCACAAAGGAAAAGCCTGGCCAGAAACGAGCAAAAGACAGTGCTCCTAGTGACTTCCAGCACTTCTTGGTGTGGTTAGGGCTTACTTATCCCCCTCCCCTCAGCAGCTTCGGCGCAAAGGGCTTGGGCGCTTCGGTGTGTCGGACGGTGTATTGTGTCACTTCTCGACGATTGGGATCCCATGGGTTTGACACCGGATCCCATGGTCCAATCCGGTCCAAACCGCTCTGACAGTCTGAGCCTGATTTTTGTTTGCCTCAAAAAGACAAAACCCGGTTTTAGCAAAACATGTGCCACATCTAACACACTCCTTGGTGAGCAAACCTGGAAGGCACGAATCGCAGGCGAACATGGACCCTCTAGGCCGAATGAGCTGCCAAGAGCTGAGAGGCACTCAAGACTGCAAGAGCCTCGTGACTCTACAAGTCTGTCCCCTGACATTGCCATTTCTGTTCGATGGAACCTCAGGCAGTTTTGATATCACAAGAGCATCGACAAAGCAATTTGAGTGCAAAACACACCCGCCGAGGTTTCTCCTCAACTTGGGTCCAAGGGTCTTGGCAGTCTCCGTCTGCAATTGCACCGTAAAGTCAAGCAAGGGAAGAAACCTCAGTCTGAGTCTACATCAAAAAGGCTCTTCCACAAAAATCGCACAAATCACTAGGCTCTATAGGCCCCTAGCCTCTTCCTCCGGCCAAGCTCCGCGGTCAATGTCTCCTTTAGGGCCCTTTAGAGAAACACACTGTCGAAGATGCAACATGCAAATGAGTGTTCAAAAAAACACACCGATCTGAACGAGTTCAGTCTTGACTATACACAGAAACACACTCGTTTTTTTTCAGACGACTTCAAACGGTCTGGATCCTAAGATTGGTAGACGACCGCGTTGACAACCAACCCATGCAACAAAAACACACAAAACATAAGACGACACCAAAACGACACCCGTTTGATGATCCTGTGATGTCATGCATCAAAACATGTGGGACATGTCGATCGACTCGTGCCCAAACACGTGAGCACACAGGTCAAGAGCGCCCCAAGGATCACCGTGGCGATGATGGCCCGCCGAAAGGGAATCTGGGATGAGGGACATGAGAATGTGGAAGGACTGTGAGGTGGAATCTGGGTGTGACTGCGGCTTTAAAAGGTAATAATATATAGAAACACATCATTACCACATGGGAGCTTGGCCGCTTGGCTCTACCAACGGTCCATTTGAATCACCATTGATCAACCTATATCTAGGATTTTGCAATCCTCAAGAGAAAAATATTGGAATGTAATTCACTGCGACTTCCAAAACCAACAAGAAAGCAGCGATTTCATGCACCCTGAGTGCACACTTCTGTCCAGTCGCTGCTGCTTCCAGTGAGGGTGAGTCTACGACCCAAAACGAAGGGATGGAGACTTCCGGTGGAGAACTTGGTGAACGACCCAAATCGACCAGCCCAATGCAATCAGGGCAAATCTAATGAGGGCAAAAGTCCAATCGTCAATCAGGGCTGAACAAAAGTCCAATCAGAAACTGCGTGTTCGATTCACATTTTCCCCCAATCCACCTTGTTCCTGGAAAGGCAAGCGGCTCGACAGGTCTTCTTCTTTTTATGGTCATCCTCGCCTGTTACAATCAAACTGAGCATCGGATAGGAGTTTTGTTCCTCCGCTTGGTCATTCACGTGGTGATTCCCAACTGCTCATGACTACCCCCAACAAGAGAAGCTGTGGAAGAGACGCTGTGGAAGGGATCGGAAAATAATAACATGAAAACATCAGGAACAACGATGATTGTGAAAAAACAAAATGGTCCAGTGGACTAGAACTCCTGAACATATGACGTGGTGGAATAGTGTCAGGTCTACGCTTGTTATTTTTTTGTGTGTTTCTATTCACAAAGCAGCATTTGGGTCTGTTAGGAGATTCTTCCTGCATTTGATTTGTTGCTGGTGTCCATCTCACTTGGGCCATCCTATCTTTTTATGTGTTCCTCGTCTGGAGGCTGACTGAGGCTGAAAGGGTTGGGGAATGACCTGCAGGGTCAGAAATCGAACTACACATGTACATTGTTTCTAGACCGGGTAAACAAACCTTGTTTCTATACATGTGGTTCACCTAGAAACCTAACGGTACATTGTTTGCTACTAAGGTTCACACATGTTTCATGTTTACATGCAATCCACTATGCACTCCATATCGTGGACTTGATTTGCTCGAGGGGTTGTTAGTCAGTGTCTCGTTCACCAGATGGGGGAACCTGTGACCCGGTGAAACTGGGCCGGCCACCGTGCAAGCTTAAACAAAAGGTGGAGCCTCAGAAGTCTCGAGGACACCACAGAACGAGTTTGTTTTTGAAAATGTCATGTATCAAGGTGGGGGAGAAAAAAATAACAACACACACACACATTGACGCCCAAAAATACTCCTGAAGAACCCTGCGAGGACAAAGGTCAAAACGTGGACCTGCAGCACTGCGGGAAGAACAAATAACACACGCACCAGTGACACAGGTCCACTCACATATATGGCGGGCTTTTCTCACACGCACATGTTTTCCATGGTTTTCCTCTTCAAACAGGTGGGGTTTTCCTTCCCATGACTATTCCCAAAAAGTGTCGTTCTCTGGTCTGGCATGCCACTCCCAGCCGCTCCCAGCTCGGTCGCTCCGAGCTCGGTACCTTGGCTTTCATCACCCCACTCAGGGAGCATACCTGTCGGAGAGCCCACCGATGGTGAGAGGTCGGATGGGATCCCCCTGTTGGTCGATCCAGCATCGAACCCGGGACATCCAGAGATGCTTTTGCCACGAGAAACTTCAAGAAACATCAAGAGTGTGATTGGTTCTTGATGGATTCTGGTGAAGGTAACCGTGGAAGCAGGTCAAAACGAAAAACAGGCCAAACCTCCATGTTCATACACCTCTCTGTATCCTATTCGATTGTTTGGACCACTTTCTTTCTCGGATTCGATGCAGTTCCCAAGCACTCCGATATGCCTAGATATATATATATATATATTATATGTTTTTTGTTTTTCTTTTGGGGGGGACATCAAGAACTTGTAATTAGCTTTTATGTCAAACGTCCTATGAACCAAATGGGGGTCCAAAAAAGCACCGCCATCCCTTCAAACCCAAACGTGCCATGGAATCTCCGAAAATATTGTAACTACAAATTCCAAGGATTGCCTCTTACTGTCTGACCTGGCGGGATCTGCGAATCTGCAGTAGTTGAAACGAGCAGCACGAACTGCAGTAGTTCTGTCTCGCTGCAAACGCCAACACGGTACCTTAATGTTTAAGACCTGCGCGTTTGGGTCTCTGATCTGCTGCTGTTTGCGGGACTTATTTGAGGCTCTGATCTGATCATTCAACAAATGCGAAACGTTGAGGAGTTGCTTCGCAACAGCTCTAGGACCTTTGTGGGAGTTTGCCCAGAAATGAGCAGTTGCATGGTTACGTTAGTTTGCCAAAGTTTTTGCGAACTCAAAGCGTCTTAACGCACCCAACAAACAGCAAACCGTGGAAGACCTTCCAAAACTCGACCGTTGGACCGTTGAAGGTCGAGTATGGTCGAGTCGACAGTTGGAAGGTTCGGGTGGCCAATTCTCCACCCTAAACCTTTAAATTAACTAATAGCTTCTTGTTACTACTAGTAAGGCACTTGTTACTACTAGCGTGGCACTTGTTACTAATAGCTTCTTGTTACTAATACCTTTAAGGAACGGATGGTTTGCGGTTTGCTGAATTCACTGTGATCGTGTGATCGAGCGTCACACATGCAGCTACCATCTTCTACACAGAATGAGAGGTCTCGAAGCACCATCTATTATCCGTCCACACTGGCTCGACATGGGATCATGCCCAGTCGTGTCAATTGGGGGGTCTTCCTTGTGTTGCCCTGGTGCCAGGTACCTTCTCTATCCTTCTAGCCCTTCCTGCGAATCATCTTCTGGACAAAGCCCGCCTGACTGAGCGGTTTTCACGCTCGACATCCTTGGTGATTTCAACGCGAACAACGTACAGATCAAACTGATCCCCTGACGTATGAGGGAGGCAAACGTCTTCACAGGATTGAACAAGGTCTTCATAGCGGGGGTTGCAGTATGAATCAATAGTCTACATCTACAGATTGCTGAAGGATGCTGAAGGTCTACACTGCCCCTTGAAGCCTTGGGTGTGCCGTCTACACCGTCCGTCCTGTGTCAAGAAGAACCGACCCAGCGCCGGCTGGTGATTCCAGCGGATTTTGACCCTGATACCTGACAGAAGCTGATCTGGCACATGTCCACCCTACTAGCGATGGCCTCCACGCCAGTAGCGGTGGCCTCCATCCTATTAGCGATGGCGTCCACCCTAATCCTTGATTAACATTTAAAGAAAGTCAAATGGAAACGTCAAAGTCAAAAAAACATCCATTTGAAAAGTCAAAACAAAGTCAACAAAATGTCAAACAAGTCGAACAAAAACAAAACACAATCAAACAACAGTCAAACATAGACCACAGCTCGAAAAAGTCAAACAAATAGTCGAACAAAAAGTCGAAAACATGTCAAACAAAAGTCTATAACAAAATCAACAAAACAACTCGATAAAGTCAACAAAAGTGAACAAAAAGTCAACCACTCGAAACAAAGTAACAAATAAAAAACGTCGAAAACAAAATCAAAATAGTCGGAGAAAAAATAGACATATAAAAGGTCGAAAACAAGTCAAAACAGTCGGATCTGTGCAAAGTGACATCATGTTTTGGATGTTCTGAAACTTTATGATTTGATTTTTTTGTTTTTTTTTTACGTTGACTTTTGGGATTGCCTTGTTTGATATTGGTTTTTAATTTTGAAAACAGGCTCTCTCCAATGAAAGACTTTGATAACCCTAGTAGCGATGGCCTCCACCCCAGGAGTGATGGCCTCCCCTCTCTTCTCTCCACTGCTCGCCCAGTCACGCTGCCGCTTCGCTTTTGCTGTCGAGAATGAACAACTTATGTTCCATCCGACTAATTCGTTCCTGACCGCTCGAAAAGTACGCAAAGTCTACTGTGCCTTCCTCAAGCTCATAGTAGAAAGCCATGTGGAAAATATTGCAAAAATTATACGTGTAATCTAATATCCAAGTCGTCTTAAAGGAACATGAGGCATCTATCATCACATAACCTGATCTGGAAGTCTAAAGATGCGGCTTGGAAGCGACGAGCAGCACCGTGCTGTTCGATATGCAATTCATACCATTCCCAGTGGGTTGATGACAGCAATGGGTCGGGAAGGTTGGGAAAACCATCACTTATTGGTGAGAGCTCCAGTTGGCGCTGGTGTGCCAACAACAAAGGGAGGGGAATTCAGAAACGAAAGCTCAGCTTGGTCCGAGTTGCTTCTTTTGTATAATACATCGCTGCATTGTCACACACTTCCACACCCCTCCCCCCCAAAAAAAAAGAAACGGGTAGCAGTGCATAACCACAGCTTGTCGTTCTATGACTGTGACAAGGATGCACAATTCTTTCAGTCATACCATTCTTCTCCATAGATGTTGAGCTGAATCCCCAGCAGGGCATCATGCGTCAGTCCTGAACTTCTCCCATAATAGAGTCACTATCGCTACCTCAGGCTGCACGCAAAGTTTAACTCAGCATGTAGCATGTGAACCTTCAAATGCACAAGACTCTCATGTGCAACATCTTTCATACATCTGATAAGAAGGTCCACCAATCCACCGGATAATTTCCGGACCCAATCTCTTCGTATCCGAATTTCTCACTCCCCAGCGGCTGCGCAGGTTCCATGGTCCACCGTGCCAAGCAGAAACCGAGGTTCCCCCATCGGAACCAGGCGACCTTTTGGTTGGCCTCAAGAATGTGTTGTAGAAGATTGAAGGCGGCCCTTGGTTGAAGATATTTTAATGAAGACCAAGTGTCAAATAGGCCAAGTGTCCTATTCCTTTGAAATCACCTAACAAATCCTGAGGTCCAAACAGAAACATACCGAAACAGTTTCGATACCATCCAGTTTTCCTCCCATCAACTTGTGCTTCCTCATGAAGCCTTTCACAGAGTTTTACACACACCATTCCAAGCCTACCACGTGGATTTCCATGGCTTTCCACCAGCGGAACCCTCGACCTCCTCTAAGCATCGGGTTTAGAACGGGCAGGGTCCCCCGGCCCATCCTTGTCGACCCACGAACCGACGAGATAGACGATTGCACTGAAATGCCAATGTGAGGTCGAGTTTTCCTCCCAGTTCCGGAGTTTGTCGGGGCACGGAGATAGTCGCCTTCCCGTCTGGAGTTGGCCTCAAGACTCAGCTCTCACTCTCCATGTGGGGAGATAAATGATGAGTCATTGGTCCGATTTGGCTCCATGTCGCGCCGTTGCGGTGGCATTGTTGTGCCTTTCCCAAGAACGGTGATGAGTCATTGGCCGGATTGGGTGAAGATGTGTGAAGTGGTGGACCAAAAACACATAACTATAAACACATATCATGTGCACACACCGGAGGTGTGTCAGTCAACCCTCCTCCAGGATTTCTGGGACCCGGTTACCACTTGCGAGGACCAGAAAAGAGGACAACGCGGATGAAATCCACCCTGTCAGCAAATGCCATCAGTCTATCGAGATCAAACGTGCTTCCCATGCGCAAATGAATCTGTCCCATCAATGCTGTGACCCACATTCTGGGCACCACCTATCAGCTCGGTCCCAAAATCGGAAAATGCCGCACGATGTGAAGACTGTGTGAAGCCAGAGCCCAATAGAGACATGTCTACAAAAGTCTGAAGGTCAAAAAGACGAACGAACCTACGACTAGACACCCTTCGAGGAATTGGTGTCCTCCTTCGGGCATGTGATGCGGAGCACCACCTCTATCCAAACAAAAGAAAACTCACATGCGGAGCAACCAGCTGCAAAATTCTGGCCAAACTCATAAACTCTTCCGCCCAGGTCACCGGTGAATTTGACCGACTGATCGAAACGTCTTGCTGGGAATGCCCGTCGCCTGCGATTGTGCTGCATGTGAGGTCTGTTTTTTGTGTGCCAGCAAAATGCATGGCGTTCTCTTCTGGCCTGAGTTTTAAATTTTACAAGAAGAGGAGAGAGTACTCCGGAGTTAAGTGACTCTTAGCTGCTGGAAAAGGGTAGCTAAATTGTTTTTGCAACATGTTCAAACCATTTGTCTTGTTCCTGCTGCCAGAATGGCCCAACACCTCTACTTTTCTGCTCAAATGCAAAGTATAACGTACGTAGTATAATGGAATACAACGTAGCATATAACTTGCTCCTTGGACTAACGAGCGTCGGAAATCAACGTCTTCTAAACGTGGTGCATCACTTCTTCCGCTGCTTGGTCCAGTCACAACTCCAGCCCCAGGGGCTCAGTTTTCCTCCTGTTCCCCCAATCACCCTCAATGGAACCCGGAAGCAGCCTTGCTTCGCAAGGCAAGTCATACCAAGCAAGCTGGGCAATGGCGCCCGCAAATGACCCTGAAGCGCGATGTGGACAGTAGCCTTCATAAACCTCCCAGAATACTCTAAGAGCGTAGGAAGAATGATCGGCGTTTTATCAAGAGTCAACAGCAGATGGCGCCACATCATACGACAGAGCTAGTTGATGTTTGTCCAAATGACCGAGGGACTGTGACTGTGGGGCCATCAAAACAGAGAAAGGATAAATCTATATGTCGACCAACTTGGACACACTATTAGCTATCACACCCCAAAAAGACATCCTACCAAGCAATCACAAACAATCAACAACCAGGCGGGATGTCCGGGATGTCGAGCTATTTGCTCAGTTCCTTTCATGGGTGTGAATCAAGCTGATGGCACTACTGATGTTCTGAATATATCTGAAAATGAAGGCACAACAAAACACAATCCCATGATCCGTGGTGATTCAGAAGCAGCTGCCGCAATCGAAATCATTTGAGAGCAAGTTCTCATCTCTGAGGATCACCAGATTCCGCGACCCATGATTGTGGCCCAGTCTTGTGTGATCCTGTATGTGCTGAGGAATTGCTCGGTGTGGATTCAGTGCACAGATTGATGAGGGGTCTGCCCTATTCCAAGACACAAATTCTGTTGAATCAATTCCCTCTTACTGAAGCAAGCTTCCCTCACCCCAAATCCCATCTCCCACATCCCATCTCCCAAATGGCCTCTTCCAGGTTCACCGAATAGGTTTTTGACCAGTGAAATGCAGATCTTAAACAGGGTGGCTGCCATGCAAACACATGTCTTAAACATGTCCGAAGCCCCCAAAACAATTTGATTTGAGGTTTCAGGGCCCCCGGATCAACACTGCAGCTGGCTCCCTTCCAGCCCAGCTTGCCCGTGTGCGTCCAACTGAGAACACAGAGATGTTCATCAAACCACCAGTCCAAAAGGTGAACGAAGCGGGCCATGAGCGTCAAGTGACACTAGGGCCCCTAGGGACACTAGGGCCACTAGGGCTCAGGGCGCCAAAGCCCATGATGCTCGAACTCGCAGAGGTTTGCCTGAGAAGTCTTTTAAGATTGCGACCAGGCCGATCCTTCAGATATATAGTTCGCCACTTGCTTCAAAGTATATATATATAAATAGCACAATCAAATGATGCTCGAAATGAAAGGGATCGAATCGAAACACCTTGTCGAATCGATGTGTATATATCTTTTTGAAGGATACCCTCGTGTCGCATCCTGAAGCGACCGTCGGAAAGATCGAAGATGATCAAAGTACCGACCGTCGGAAAGAAACATTGACTCCAATATCTCTATAGGGCAAGAAAGATCCTTGGCAATCATATGGCCGTGAATGGCTCCAGATCTCCGTCTACAAATTCATGAAACCCGCCTGTTCCAGTCTGTCCCGCCATTGGTGATCGACTTTGGCGTCACCACAGAGACAAGCACTGGAGAATCCGGAGATTCCATGGTGGTAGAACCGTACCAACCGGAAATCGAACAGAATGACAAAAGGCTGTTGACTGGAAATCGTTGTAGTGACTTGAATAAGTCCGGTAAGTGCAAAGTTGCAGCTCTTTTGATGTTCTTTTCTTCTGAGCCATGCTGCATCATATGCTTGTACCATCCTTGTACCCCTTGAGCAATCTGGTCTGCAGTTTTTGCCTGGCGCGGGAACCACCTCGAGAGCAGTCCGATGATCCCGGAGCCGCATCTTCCCGGTGCGAGGGGGAAAACGGTGAAAACACCAACGTTGGAATACTCTCGACCGAAGAGGTGCTTGCACAAGGATTGGCGAAGTGGCTTCAATGAGTGTGCTCTCAGCCGTGTTTTTTACAGACCCCCATGTTACTAGTAGCGTCTTGCTACGTAATGCCCTTAGTTAGTGGAGATGCCCTTGTTACTAGTAGCTTGGGTTGACCGTGTTTCAATATGTTTCAATTTCCCTAAGCTGTAAAGTGGCCACGCTCGTCGACTCGCTGACCTGCGGGTCCCTGTCCCGACGGTTCGTGCGTGCGTCTTCAGGTGCCAATGTACGGAGCCAAACATGACCCAAGCACACAGAGAGGGGGGGCCCCTTCGGAGCCTAAACACCGTGAAGCAATTGCTGGGGAGAGCATGGGGGTTGCGCATGTCATCTTGCGGAATCGAGCCAGTGAGTTGGGGTGTGTTTGTCCAAATTAATTACAACACAGGCAAAACAGCATCACCGCTTTTCGTTCACTGGCGGGCGTCTTAAGTGCCTTTGGACAATGCTGGTGAAAATGAGCCGTGGGGGTTGTCTGGTTGTCCCTGTTCCTGAAAACTGCTCTTTCGCTTCCCTGCTATGAATTGTTTCTCTGCTTTGTGGCCACAGCAACAAAGAACATTCTTTAGTGGGTTGTCTACTTTTATGTTTATGCATCGATTGTTGATGAAAACAACAAATATCTACATTGGGAAAAATGTGTTTTACTTTGCATGTCTGCATATGTGACTATCAGTTTCTTCTTGTTGGATTTGGTCCTCTCTCGAAACCCAACTGATACAGCCCATGCGTTGAAAAGGGTGCTGAAGGCTCCCCTTTTTGTTTAATTGACATCATTTCTTTCCGCCCCAGGCTTCCATCCCCTCGCCAGAACCCGACCTCGGTTTCGTCGTGGTTTGGTCTGGGGCCCCCCTGACCTGTCATTCCACCTTCACTGCAGCACCAACCACCTGACGAGGCCACCGACGCACCGAACCTGCGGTTGGTGCTATGCTATCCGGAGAAAGCCTCATAAAACCTCGAAGAGTTGATCATAACTAATCTCTTCAAAGCATGAAGCACCGTTGGCTTCATAACTTCCAAAGGAGAGAATCTTCTTCCTTCCGGTTGGAGGTACTTGGATGGACTCTGGGGTACTTTAACAAAAAACAAGAGAACGTGTACTGTACCATATATACTTGCCAGAACTTGAGAGACAGGGGGCACAGCTCCTTTGCTTCTACTACTTGTAGCCAAACACTTATTTTGACAAATAGTCAATCAATCATCAACAAAGACATACAAGCTACAAAGTATCATCTGTGGTCAGCCTCAGTCGCTTCATGTTCAATGCGTAGGGTCTGTTTCTTGAAAACTGGCAGACTGGCACCAAACATGTTCTTCATGGGGAATCTGTTGAGCAGTTCACAACAAGGTGTTGTTAACAGGTTTAGGCTTTAGGACCTCTACAAGTCTTTAACGGGGGTAGGAACAAGAAGCTACTAGGGGTTCCTGGCCTTACTACTAGGAACAAGGACGCTACTAGGGGCTCCTGGCCATACTACTAGGAACAAGGGACGCTACTAGTAACAAGAAGCTACTAGGGGCGGCTCTTTTATATCGCGCCGGCTCGCCGATGAATGCACCAAAAGCTGGTGACCTGTCTCTGGAGATCGGGGAGAGCATCTCACCCTGCTGACCAAAACGGGAAAGATAGGGGCCCCCAGGTTCAGCGTCATGTCGCACCACAAATTTGACAAGTCATGTGCATCCCAAGTGAAGATGTCAACATCATGACTCTGCCTTACTAAGTCTGTTTCGTTTGTTTTGCATTGACGACCTTCACGAAATCTTTCGGTCCCCACATGTGGCCAGTCGCAGGGCACATGTTCAAGGAAAGCTCTCAGGACTGTCACTCGTGCGGAAAGTCTGCTGTCATACTGCACTACGCCACAGCACCGCTTTCCTTGGCAACAAAGTGATCCAACTGCCTTGCAAGTCTTCAGAGCTGCAAAGTGCTGCAAATCAGTCTGAATACTTCTCATACGGGCTTGCACGGGCTTCACAAACAGGAACAACAATGTATACCTAGAAGCCAATTGACCTCATACATGTTTTGGCTCTAAAACAGGGGCCACTCGGGTTCCATAATATATATATATATATGATATTACAAAATCAATTGTTAACTAAGTATAACTATGTACACAAATCTAATCAGCATCTGTATCCCAGTAGGCCCGGTAGGTTATAGGTATGAGAGGTGAAACATCAAAACCTCCATGCCATGTTTCTGAACACTTGAACTCTGCAAACTGGCTTTCCAAGCAAATCTTCGACCAAGCGCACTGAAAAACCGGGTCTATTCAGAATGTCTACCTATGCCCTACCAAAATCTCAACTTCAAAGGATATCATCTAAGCAGTACAGTCTATATTGAAACCATCTTTAGATATAACCTTCCAGAACCCTGTCCCATCTCTGCTATTCAAGCCAAGTCTCCTTCTCCGCATTCCAAGAGGCGATCATGGCACGTCGTTCTTCTGACGTCTGTCGTGCAGGCGGGGCCTCACCGCGCTCACCACGATCGCGATCACGGTCCTTCTCCTGGGCCGAACGTTTGCTACAAGGATTAGCTGGGCAAATGCTGAACCTTGTTGTGGAATGGTACAAAAAATTGTTGTCAGTGTTATTTTTGTTGTGAGTGGTTTTTCTTTTCTTCTGCAGTTGCGGAAAGGGGGCTTCAAACGACTGACACCTGAAGAGGCACGGTCTGTTCATGTGAGATAACGTATATATATAGAGAGATTATATATATATATATTTTTTTTTTTGAGGGTCAAGCTCATTAACAACTAGCAACACATTTGCAGCGGGGCTCACAAAGAGCTCGAAGTACTCTCTTCGCGGAGGCACAACGACAACCGCGGACGGAACACATGACATCGCCAAGGAAATTAAAATGTGGCACGTCCACCTCCCATACCTATACCCCCAAATTGCCCCTAACAAGATGTTAAAACCCCAACAAAGACCAAGAACATCCAAAAACACATCAAGTTCTCCAAGAAAATAAATTCCTGCAGCTGCTGATTCGATCAGTTCATGCTGTATCAATTCCATCTCGATCATGTAACCCATGATTGTCTATTATGGTCTCTTTGTCTCGGCTCCTTCTTCTCCTTGTCGCGACGGCGGGAGCGAGAGCGGCGATCACGGTCCTGGCACTCTTTGTGATCACGGTCGCGACGGGAGAGATGATTCAGGGGAGGTTCAAATGGTTTCTTGTAGATCTGTAAGTCATGCTCAAGAGTTGCCGTTAAAAAAAGAAAAGACAAACACATCGCTTTTACAACATAAAACAGCATGCAACATCACTGAAGCGTTGCCCAAGATGCTTACAGTGCCTCCAAACATCCATAAAACAAATCCCTAGAAGTAGCATCAGGTAAACAACAAGTTTCTTTTAACTATCGGTCATCTACAAAACGGCTGATCAACATGATCCTCCGTTCGCAATTGGACTGACTCGGACGGCGCCTTTCGTAAAAAAGAAAAATCGATCTGTCGGAGTCCTTGTCCTTCTTGGACTTTTTGGCCTTCCATCAGGGCAAAACATGGATCCATGAAATGTTACCTTTGCCTTTACCCAACAAAATTGCAAGGTTCTTTGCTTTTGTCTTCAGAACAATTAACATTAAACACCTAGCCCTCAGTGATGTTCTTTGAGGCCAGAAGCTTTGATCTTCTACATGCGATTCTTCGGTTCGGGGCGTGCTGCCGGAAACAAAACTGTTAAACAAAATGATACACTTTGGCCGCACACATGGAACACTTTGAAACTTCACCGACGGAATAGTGCTCTCTCGCGGTCCAAGTCACCGTTTGCCCGAGGTACTCAGGGTGATCATCGTACATCTCTCGCACCACGCGACGCTTGATGGCACGAGGAATGTGCTTGATGTGCATGAAATTGCCTTACGAAAGGAAGACCGAGTAGAACACAGAAATTGCCCGACTGGGTCGTGTAAGGATCAGAATCAAACCACATCCTCTCCTCCTCTCCTTTGGACTAAATACAGTATATATACTGTATATATATATCACAAAGGAAGGGGTTGAATCATCCGTCTCTATTCATGTGGGCAAACAACATTCTGCTCAAATGAACGAGTAAGGTGATGCGATCATGGCTTGGACACTGCTGCATGTTGGTGTGTTTTTTTTTTCCCCAAGTGTCGCTCACTTTACTAATCTCTACTATACCTGAGTAAGTCTGTAACACTCGGAGGCTTCTTCCTCTTCTTACACTTCTTAAGGTGTTAGCTCGTCATTAAATAGAAACGAGATAGCCGCGAGATCATTCGAGATCAGCATACACAAACCAATGTCTGCAACAGCTGAGGTAGTTTTTCAAAGCAGGGTCATTGTGGAGGCCTTTTTGAAAACATTTGACACCTGTCCAGTGCCTTGTAGGTGGTTTGCAAGTTTCAAATAGCCATCCTCTCAAAGACACTTTCAAGGAACCTTTCATCCATGAAATCTGCCACCCTTTCCTCCACACCCAGTGGCACCAAACGCAGTCGAAGCCCCCCCCCCCCCGCCCTTCTACGCAGCTCAGCCACAGTAGGCGCCACGATTGCAACGGGTCTCGTGAAAGGCTCGGCAGCGCGCCTCACGGAAATCGCTCACCGTGGTGTACTCGGCTTGGATCCTGAGCGTTGCTCGAACCGGTCATGGGTCGTCTCCGACAATCTGTTTGATCCAAGAACAGTGCTTTTGAAACACATGATGTTGCACATGAAGATATCTCACCTGAAGATCTTTTGGAAGCTGAACTTGAGGCTGCAACATCGTGAATCACGATCTTCTTTTTGTTTGAGAAACAAACTAACAAACAAACAAACATTGGACGCTAAGCACTTTCACAACAACCGTGGCAAAACGCTTCCGGACAAGAGGCGATTCGGCTTCACTCGAACACCACGCGAAAGCGCTGGTCTCTTAGTCGTTTGATCGATTCTGGGTCTGCGGTCTAAACCCGGAGCACCGGTTTCAGGTGCCATGGGCCATTGGTGAACGTCGAGCGGTCTAAACCCGGTGAACGATGGAACTGTTCCTCAGTGCTATCTCAGCCAAGGCGCAACTTCCCGCTGTAGAAACGGCCTTCCAATGAGAGATCTTGAAATTGGGCTTTATCAGATTTCATCAAAACACGTATTTACTTAATCAAATAAGTAGATACTCTAATTATACTAATCTCTGATCAGCAGCATGATACCTTTCTTTGAAGTCTTTGTGTGCCAGTCTTACTCCAGGCATGACGCTCCCCAGTAACTCCAAATCATGTGTAATAAGCTTGTGTGACGTGTCCAAACAATGATCAAGCCCGACCATCGACAGCAACAAGCAATATATGATGGGCGGTAAACACTTGTGTCTCTTCAACTGAAACAAACACTGACATTATCAGTTTTGAGGTGGACCCTATCGTTTTACTGCAGAGTAGTGTGTGTGCTCACCACATATTTATGTTCATATTACTGAATATATAATATATATATTCAATATCATATATGCTGGGGTTATTGGGTTTGAGGTGGACCTTCTCGCTTTACAGTGTTGTGTGCACGAACCTACCCCTCTCCACTAAAGTGGATCTTCGCTTGTTTTGATCGTGGCTCATATTAGATCATCGCAACAAAGAACACATCGTTCACCCTTACCTTCGTTCTTGCAAAACTCCCACAGATTCATAAATTCGCCTGTCAGCTTCATCAGGGCACGCTCCGCATCCTCCTCGTGGTAGTACTTCACATAGACATTACCAATCATGTGGTCACACAAGTTATCTACCACCACCAAGTCCTGCCAGCAGCGCGCCCGTGAGTTCCGGACGTCCGGATGCTGACGATGCCAATGGAAAACTGGTGAAAAGAAAAGACAAACAAACTCTGTAAGGTTGAACCGTTCGCAGTTCTTCTGGATGAGACCGGTGCTCAGCTATATATTACAAATTATATAACCAAAGTCCAAGGATAACCATCCAAAAACAACATGTTTTATCTCAACACAATGAGGACAGACTTTGGCAGTTGTGTTTTCCAGTTGTGTTGACAACCATCCGATCTGGATCCTTGACAAAACGTCACGGAGTCACAAGGCCACATATCGAGGTAGCGTGCTGCGGCGACAGACAACATGGGTGTGTGAATTTCACACCTCTAAGCCTCTGAGTCTATGGTACCATTGGGATTACTGGCTGTTCGAATTGTTGGCTTCAACATGTATCAACCCACATGAAACATGCTAGATAATTAATCTATCGATATCTGTTGCATGTCTGATCACATTATATACACGAATCAAACCAGCCAGGTGCCAAATTTGGTCCTCAATCTCTCCATAGTTGGCCAACTCCAGGAACACTTCCACATAAAAGGCTTCCAAATGTGCCTGTGGCACGCCGTTCGGCTGCCGCAACGGCATGAACGGCCGTACGCGGTTGGACCCCCGGATGGCACGATCCGGACGGACGGTCCGATGGTCGGCCAGGAGTTTTGAGAAAACGAAGGAGCTCCTGACTCAGGGACCCCAGGAATCCATAGTCTCCGATATGGCATTCTCTATCATTCTCTCTTCACACTTGAGGTGGGCAACCGGTGGTATAGCCAGAAAATCATCCACTCACGAAGCTGCTATGACTCAACTCGGCTCAACACCGCAGCCACTGCTGGGCCTGTGCACGGTCGTACATGTCGTCATCCCAGGGCTCATCATTGGCGAGAGCCAAGGACTCTGGAGTATTGGGGTACCTGGAGTACGTATCAACTGGTACACTTCCTGAAGCCTGGCTGAAGAGCCAAAAAGAATTGCTCAAAACATCTCAAGACATCCATGAATCCATGGTAATAGATTGGTCTTCCAAACATCGATTCTCTAACAAACACAAATTGCCCTGTACAGTGTCCACAAGGAATTGGTCCACAACAGCTTTGTCCAGTCACCTTTCTGCTTCAATTAAGAGCATTGAAGAACTAATCGGCCATACCACATCCAACCGCCCTGGGCACATGTGTGACAACAGCAGCGTCTGACTCATCGTTGGACGGTTGTGCAAGCGATTGCACTGATCGCCTGACATCAACTCGCCAACCGAAGGGAAGGACGAGTCCTTCACAAACATGCTAAACAAATAGGTTTCAAAAACCGTGCTCAAAACCAACAGCAGCAATTCATTCAATGTTCACACAATTTAGAGGGTCTCCTATATAATATGTCATGTTCCAAATGGTGTCCCATCAAAGCTGTTCTTGCCACATTCCTGGGCGAGAAACCATTGCGGCATGCGCCGATCTTGAAGTAAAAGGGGCAGTTGACGCGGTCCTCCTCGGTTCCTCACAAGGACGTCTGCTCTGCACATGATCTTGATGCTGCACACTCAAAAATAACTTCATTTGGTTTGCTGGCATAGGGTTCCAAAATGATAGTCTGATACCAAGTGATGTTCTATTGCATGGTAGTTTGCTCGGGATCAGGGTTTCCCTCTCCAAGCAGATGAGATACAGTCACACATCTTCATAGTGTTTTTGGTTCAAACAAATCATCTCAAAGACGTGGCCCGCCATCACAACAAACCAACCAAGTCACCAACCAAGTCTCAAAAGAAAGGTTAAGAAAGGTTACTATACATGTGCAATCTCTTGGTTACCTATGACCAACTGCATCCAACTGCTCAAAACTCAACCCCGTCTCTCCCCTCGTTCCGGTCTCCCTCCCAGTCTCGTGACTCTCGTCTCGGCTCCAAGCGGCCGAAGATCCGAGCCAGCTGCTCCGCCATGGCTCGGAAGACGTCGAACGAAGGTGCGAAGCTCCCGGAGTCGCGACTGGAGCCGGGCGGCGCGGGTGGCGCGACGCGTGGGGCGCTGGCGCGACGCGGAGAATCGCTCCGGGAATCGGACTCAGCACTCGCTCTCCAGTTCCACAGGAAGACGCGGAAGTTGGAAGCGAAATTGGACAAACAATGTGCATGTGTCTGCTCTTTTTTGGGGGGGTGAAATCGTGCGCGATGACATGTGTATCGATGAAGGGTCATATGAAGATGTCAAATATGTGGTTCGCAAATATATTGTGTGGTCCCTGTTGTTTCTTATGTTACATTATTGGTCTTTGCCTTTACTGCAGGTTTTTCTCAATGCAGATCGGCTCCATTGCAGAAGCTGTGCCTTGCTCTTGACCATCTTCCAGCCCTTGTTTTGCCGCACGTCCTCCGACCGGACTGCTTGGCGGCGACATGCGGATTCAAGCCGCCAACGGTCCGCAATCAACATGAGCCTATCAACCTGAAGCAAGACACTTGCGAACGACATCGGGGTGCTTCATCGGCAAATCAGCATGAGCAAACAAGCTGCCAGTGCGAAAGAACAGCGGACGTCCAAGGGCCTGATTGATATGGGATGGTAGGTAATGGTAGGTATCACTATGTATCACTATGGATCACTATATTTATGTTGAGCTGAATGAAGCTTGGCATTGGACATTGCCACATGGTGTCATATGTTCGTTTGATCGCACCCAGTGGAAGCTTGCTACTAGTAGCGTCCTTGCTCCTAGTAGCGATGCCCTTGTTCCTAGTTGCTTCTTGTTCCTAGTAGTACGGCCAGGAGCCACTAGTAGCGTCCTCTAGCTCCTATTAACTTCCTCAACAACACCTGACTCATGGAGACCAATCGCGTGCGTTTTCGCGTTCGTCTCCTCGCTCTGCTTCTCGCTCTTCGGCGAGCCTTCCAGCGGACGATGTGGGTCAGCACCGGGGAGACCGAACGGTGGACCAGGGCGACCCAGGCGGCATGGCCCATCACCATCTTGGGTAATTACCTGTGGGTTGCGGGTAATCAGGTCATGCCATAGATTCCATAGCTTTTGCAAGAATCTCTTGTGATTCATGCGCGTACCCCACCTGGTAGCTCTATACAGCACTTGGAGCAAAAAGAGTGAAAATGAGAAAGAAGTGGCACTTGGGTGGCTTCAGCCATCTTCAGCCTCTGTGTGCATGCATTGAAGCTTCTACTGGCCTTCTCGAATGACATAATGCTTTGATTAGCATCAATTACAAGGAACCGTTAGCTTTTGGAGCTGTCATGCCAGGTTAGTCCAGAAGAGAAGCGACTAACCGTTATCATCGATTCTGGGATAGTTCTTGGGATTCCTGGGTGTGCCTGTCTTCCAAGGTTGTTATGGGCTCTTCAACTTCCCCATGTCCTGCACGTGCATGGACGCTAAGGGATGTTTTGGAAGAGTCGCTGATGCTCATGATATCTCGTGATCCACCCTGAACATGGGAGCAATTCCGAAAGACCGACGAGAATCGCACCGGGAACCACATCTCCAAACAGCATCACCATCCCTTGCAACCCTTGACAACATGAGTAGAACCTAATATATGGAGTATAATCAAGCATGAATATGTTGGTCTCCTTTCCAGACGAAAGACCATCGAAAACCTAGGTATATATAGATGCATGCCTATGTATATAACTATATACACATGTATGTTATTGTATGTTTATAGTGTGTGGTCCCCCCATCTCATCACCAGCACTCCGAAGCGTGCTGTCCATCCATCGCCGATAGAATTGTCGAAAACGGCGACGTGTGCTCAATGATGACGCGATGAACTCGGCACCTTCCCGAGGGCTTTGGAGCGGCAACATTGGCACCTGGGGAAGACTGAGATCCTTCCGCCGATGGACCCATTGACTGTCATGTCAAAAAACACATGCATTTACATGCACATTTTAAGAAGTCCACACCTTCCCCAAGTGGCCAGAACGCTACATTCACGCTACACCTTGCTTTTGCTGCTACTCAAAAGTTAATCTTTTTTGAACTAACATTCTACTGTATGGCATTGACCTAGGGACCTAGTTGCGAGATGATGTGACCTAACAAAACCCGTGCTTCGACAGATCCGATACTTCCTTGCTCCAGAAGTCTGAACGGCGGACCACCAGCAAAGCGCCCTTGTAAATGAAGGTCCTTTGGCTCGCGAAGCGTGTTGGGAGGGGGGATGGAAAGTATTGATATGGGGTCCAAACCAGGAGCCCTGATCCACCATGTAGCGGCTACGACCTTCCACATAGGTCGTGCCCAGTTGGTCTTCTGGTGCCATGACCTATAGCCATCAATCACTCAAAGGGGAATTATGGTGAAGCACCCAAGGTAGCGCTCCAGTTGCCAAACGGTTACTCTGCCCTAGAGGGGGGAAACACCCAAAGTCAATGATGAATCACTACAAAAGGCGATGGGTTTTCTCTGTCTTGGCTTCGCTTCCACTGGAGCGGCGGTTCACCTCATGGCACGCCAACTCCCGCAACCAACGACGGAACGGCCGTCGTTAGGACGAGGAATCTTCACTGTCACCGATGCAGGAATTGGGGAATCTTAGGTTTTGACCCGACATATAGCACTTTACAGGGGTTCAGGTCCGTCCGAGGCCCATGGATCCCATGCCCAAACGATCCATGTAACTCAGCAAACTTATCGCCTACATTTGGCGGTGTTTGGTGGTGAATGTGGAACACTGCCATCCGGAGCTGGCGGTTGAGGTCCGGTGGGGAACACTGCGAGGAGGAGGTGGAGGAGCAGGAGGCGGAGGACGACGGCAGCTGACATAAAATCTAACAACCCTCACCTGACAGGTGGGGAAAACATATATTAATTAGCTTTTGTAAAAAAACAGGACCGGATAACCTGACATGTTAACAACTTCACCAGACACAGGAGCGGACAATTGGTGGTTGACATTTGGTTGGTGACAATTGGGTGGTGACAGTTAGTTGGTGGCAATTGGTTGGTAGCAATTGGTGGGTGGCACTTGGTTGATGACAGTTGGCTGGTGACAATTGGTTGGTGGCAATTGGTTGGTAGCAATTGGTTGGTGGCAATCGGTTGGTAGCAATTGGTGGCTGGCAATTGGTTGTGGCAGTTTGTGGGTGGCAGTTGGAGCGGATACCACAGAAAAACACAAAAAAAACACACGTCAATGTGGGGAACAAAGAACAAACAAAATTCTTCCCGCTGCAAAAGCCCAGTCGGTCAACCATATCTTTCGTCCTACACCATCTACATGTCCTATCACCGGTTCCAGAACAATCTCAATTTGCCGCGAAACTCGCGCGCTGAAGCCGTCTCCTCTGCTTGTTGGTGTCGCCTGGGAGACGAGCCATCAACCAAATGAACAACATTGCACGACTGTAAAGTGCCCATGTATGCCATATAGGCTCGGCCCATGCACGAATTCGCCTGGCGCCATAATAACATTATTTTATTGCCCTCGAAAAGACGAAGAGACTGGCCCAACCAATGTCCCAAACCCATACTTGTCTACACAGACACAGATAGGCCTTGATCAATTGGCATGTGGAAACACAAACTTCCCTAACCATACATAGCTGCATTCTTGAAGCTTTCTACTGGCAGAGCTGCCAGCTCGTGGTCAAACAACGGCTTTTCAGACCAACACTGATCTATCTCACAGACATCTGTGCAATAGAACCCCCTTCAACGAATCTCCTTTAAGTGTCATTCCCCACTTCCGTGGCGCCACGTCCCATTCGTCACGTCCCGCGGGACGCAGTTTGCGCCTGCGTCCGGAGGCACCGGATCGTAGGGCAAGGGCCGTAAGAGCACAAAGTCGCTGGTGCTTGGCCTGGGCACGCTGCGACGGCGTGACGCCGCATTCGTTGCGCGGCGCAGAACTGCACCGGTGCGACTCGGTGTGGTGCAAGCACCATGTTTGGACCAGCGCATGAACGAAAAGGTCGAAAGAACGGTGACGTGCTAAAGACATCAAGAAGCTGCAGACCACATGTTTTTGTGTTTAAACAGGTTGCAGGTTGCAGCCTTTATGACGTCCAAGTGTTCAAAGGCTTAATGTGGCAGCAGCATAGGTCTCTTTTCTTTGTGGTCCGGTAAGGCGATATGAACACAGCAACAATGAATTGTGATCCCAAAGACTCGTCACAACATAAGTGGACGGTATACAGTAGATGAAGACCCACAATAGTCATTATCTAAATTCATCAGTGGCTTTATTATGCTGTATTGTTTATTTGCGTTCAATTGAGAACACTACTCTAGAACTTACTAGTAGCTTCTTGTTGCTAGTAGTAATGCCCTGTTTCAAATTGGACCATTGTCCGGTGCAATGGAGAGAAAGCCGCCAAATGGCGTCCCCAGACATCCCTGTTCCCCATTCCTCTCGACTCGGTCAAGGCCACGTGGTCTCATCCAAAGCCACTGGACATCTCACTTCCGGAGGCCTCGGTCGGGCTGTTTTCCGCTTCCAGGGGTTTCAGGAAGTGGATCTGAGCCGAGCCAACACTTGGGAAGAAAGTCCCTTACAATATCGTATTGGATCTAACATGCATATCTTATTAATTCTGATTTATATATACTGGACTATACATGACTATACTGGATGGTCATCCCTCTTGGAGGTGACTTTTGGTCGTAATATGTCGGTATAGCTCATCTGGTCAACACATTGGTCCTTCCTTCCTTCGACCAATGCCCAATAGGCAGCGCGATGGATGGTGCGAAGGCTGGATCCCCCACCACCCGACGTTCTCCGAGACGCCATGTGTATGCGAAGTTGATGAAACATGGAAGCCGAGACGTGGGAACCTTAAATTGAACCAAGAAGTAGCTTCTTGTTACTAGTTGCAATTCCAGGAGCCCACAGTAGCGTCCGATCGCTCCTAGTCCTAGTAGTAAGGCCAGGAGCCCCATAGTAGTTTCTTGTTACTAGTGTGCCCCCAAGTTCTTGCAACTTCAAATTCCGCCAACAGCCAAATCTTTGGTGCTGCAACATCGCATTCCCTTTCGCTGGCA